ATATAGACCCACTCCCAAGTGAATGCAGCAGATGTTGCACTACTGGAACTGGGTATGTGCTCTGCTGTAAAGCCTTATTGATCGAACATTTATAGTCAGCGCAGATGCGCACTGATCCATCATGCTTCATTGGGGTCACAACGAGGGTTTCCCATGCCGCATGATCGATCGGTTCCAATACGCCTTGGGCAATCAGCTTATCTAGCTGAGCATCTACTTTGGGCCTCAAGGCAAATGGAACTCTGTGAGGCTTAAGCCCAATGGGCTTTCCCACAAATTCTCCAGCTTACCATCGAAGACTTCTTTGAACTCTTCGAGGAGGGTGTCGAGTTCGTCCTGGCGGATTTGGTGAATCCCTCTAATTGAGAGCCCTAATGGCTTGAACCACTCCACTTCCAACAGGTTCGGGCGGCTGTACTCGACTACGGTGATGGGTAGGTCGCCATGGAAGTCGTGGTAGGAGATCTGGAGTGATGTTCATCCCAGGACTCCGATGGGGTTTCTGGCAAAATCCACGAGCCTCGATTTTAATGGTTTCAAGTCCTTTTTGCTGACTCATGGCTTTAATCGCTGTAGCTGGTGTCAGTCTATTATGGAGTAGACTGATCCCGAGTCTACCTCCATAGAGCAAGGGGTCCCTTCCACGTGCACGGTCACGTGGTACTTGGTGGCGCTGTTGTCGTGTGAGCAATGGTCGTCTGGTGGACTGCTCCATTCCTCGCGAACTCCCTCTCTCCATGTCTCGGCTGGTACGAGGACCGTCTAGATGATCTCTGGTAGTCATCTCGATTTTCTCGCGGACGGTGGCTGGACGGCTTGGGGGCTGGATCCTTGGCTCTGCAGGCTTCAGCGATGTGACCCCTCTTGTTGCAGCATCTGCAGGTCGCATCCCTCCACCGGCATTTGGCCCTGGCATAATCTCCTCTGCAGCTGGCACAGCGCTCCCCCGGTCGCTATTTTGGGTGGTTTCCTGCCTCAGGAGTCCGGAGACCTTGTGGATGGCCAGCTCCTCGTCGGAGTCGGATCCAGTGGCCGATTCCTCCGTGGACGATTGGGGTGCTCTTTGGATCTTGTGGATCTCCTTGGCTCTCAGCATTGCAGCTGCTGCTTTTTTGGATGTTTCGGCAGCTGTGGCTTCCTCTACGACGTCCTTAAGCATGAGCTTCTTCCTGCTGAAGAATTTCTTCTGGAGGGCCCTGTCCCTCATGCCGAATACAATGCAGTCACTGATGGCATTGTCCACATTGTCAACCTCACAATTTGTGGCGATTTGGTGCAGGGCAGCCAAAAATTCTTTGATCAATTCTCCTTCCAGCTGGTTCCTCTGATGGAAGGTGAATCGGTTGGTGACTGGAGTTCCTGTTGGTGCATAATGTTCTTGCAGGACCTCCTGGAGATCAGCCCACGACATCTCCTCGATGTCCTTGGTGCCACGAGGTCGATGGCCATCTCCAGCACTTCTGATCCGCAATGCGCCAGGAACAGGGCTCTTTTTCGGTCATCGTTGAGGTCCTAGTAATTGTTCCCTCTCAGGAACTGGCGAAACCGGACCATGTAAGACCTCCACTTCTCCTTCCCGGGGTTGAAGGCTGCCAGCGAGACGAGTGTGGCTTGCGATGTCGCCATGGCTTTGGCAGCTTTGTCTTCATGACTTCAGCTCAAGTTCAGCTCTTAGTTAAGGTGGCGGTGTGCCACGAGGTTGACGCTGTGGTTCTTTTGAATCCTTCGTCGCCAGTGTTAGATCAGGCGCAGGAAAGGAGGACATGGCCAGCATTGGTCCATCAGCACTTTATTTCAGCTCAGAATAAAGGCGGACGGCTGTGCCGCCAGAGCTCTTTTTATAGTGCTCCGGCAGACCAGCCATCCAGTGATAGCAGTTTCCTGCTGGTAGATTAGCCAATCACCAGCAGATGTCCTTATAAGGACATAACAAATACCGTGTTTCCCTGAAAATAAGACCGGGTCTTATATTAATTTTTGCTCCAAAAGACGCATTAGGGTTTATTTTCTGGTTAGGTCTTATTTTGGGGGAAATACAGTACTAAATGCACCCATCTGGCTGACAATCTTAACTGGGGCTTATTTTGGGGGTAGGGCTTATATTACGAGCATCTTGAAAAACCATGCTAGGACTTATTTTCCGGTTGGGTCTTATTTTTGGGGAAACAAGGTACTGTAGGACCAAATGAAAAGAAATGGGCTATAAGATAATTGGACCAGAAAGGTTTTATCTATTCCATCAGATTAAAAACAACCAAAGTTTAGCAACAACCAAAGTTCTAGAAAATTCACTACACTTTTTATAATGGTGTGAGAATGTTCCATTGTGGTTCGTTCATTGTGCATACCTTCCAAATTCAGAGAAAGTTCTTGTCATCACTTTGAAAAAGAAATAGCTCATTCTAGTGAACTATGCTTCACAGCTTTTGACTTTTTTTTTTCCTGGTTGGTTTCTGGCTTTAACAGCATTTTGCATGACACACAGAAATTACCAGAAATTAAACTGACACATTTTAAAGGTTGCTTTCCCCATCATTATCTCTTACAAATTGATGCTTTATTTTATTCTGTGGGGAAAATATTTCTAATGTTCTGTTAGGATAGAATGCTTTAATGAAATGGTGTAGGAGTCGATTACCTGCTTGTTGTGCTTTCAGTCTGAGAGAAAAGGTGGCAGTTTTATCTCTACTCCAGAAACTATTAAAACCACAAAGGGCATTCAGGTGGAAAATGATAAATTGAATGCAAATAGATGCATGTTTTTAGTTAGAAATTCTGCACATCCTGGTCATTTGGTAATGGCAGAATAAATTGTTTGTCTTCAGTTTGCAAGAACTGAACAATCTCTGATATGTATGAAATGGCCATTTTTCCATCTACTTGCCCTTTTCCTTTAGTATTAAATTCTAATTATTCCCAAGTATGAAAGGACAGCGTGTGTGCTGACGTGTGCTATGTAAGATGGTAGAAGGAAGAAGTACTAATCTTACTTATGGTGGAAAAACTGAAAAATACTAATCTGTGTGGTTGTACATGTTTACAGAGCAATGTCTGCAGTTATGGGGAATGGAGAAGGAAGTCATTTTGCTACAAGTAATCCTCAACTTACATTCATAATGGAGTCCTTTCATCATTAGTCATGACGGTCATAAGTTGAGGCACCCATGAGACTAACTCAATTTTATGACCTTTTTTATAGTCTAGCCTTTTATTGTCATTGTACATCATATATACAACAAAATTGGTGGTCCATAAGTAAATATCATGGTGGGTTAAGCAAGTCAAGTCCTATGGACATTTTAGGTGGAAATTGCCTTAAAAGACTGGTTTCTGGCAAAAAAAAAAAAGTGATAATTCACATCACTCAACAATGAATCACTGCAACTGGCCGTAAAACAAGACAGTTCCCAAGCCCTGAAATGCAGTCATGTGAATGCAGGTGGTTGCCACCATCAGAATTCTGGAACTGGGTTCTAAATACTTTTTGGGTGGGACTGTAAATTTTAATGGTCATTAAGTGAGACTACCTGTACCATTCACTATCTTCTCATTGGCACTCTAAAAAAATCTAATGCCTCCTTAAATCGGGAACATTTCTAGCAATGATTTTAAAAATGTTTTGATTAGACTGATACATGCTAGGCATTTTTTAAAAAGAGAGAGGAAAAGAGAGAGAGAGACAGCAAAGAGAAGAGAAATCTGTTTCTGTGAAGCTATTTCTGTGGAGGGGACAAATTTAGGCTTCTTGGGGTTTTTACATTGCTGTCAGATTGGTTGTTAAATCTTTAATAACCAGTGTGGTTAAATCAAGATAGTAATTGTGATGCAACCAAAATTCCAGCTATGTTTGCATCTGTTGTAGGATAGAGTTTTAATTGTACCATTGCAATTACCATCTTTAAACATACTTCTAGAACATACCTGGTGTTTGCTATTCTCAGAGGAACCAATGAAAAAAGAGATCAAAAATGATGAAAGGAACAAGATGGGGAATCCAACAACTGAAACAAGTCTTATGGATATGGTGGAGAGTGGAGCTAAGGCCTTGGTTTCCATAGCCAATCCAAAATGTAACAACATAGACATAATATGACTTGTTAAATGTCCATTACTCATACTATAGTCTAAGGCAGGGAAGTCCACAGAGGGGAGTCAAGGCATCAGAATGACAGGCACAAGTGGGCAATGGGGACCTCACTTCTTTTTATTGATGTATGTTGTCTGCAACACATATTATAAAGGAGGGGAGCTTCCATTAACCATTCTGGGCCATTTCATTGTAACTGATTCTGCAGAGAGAAAATCCTTTACTGAATCCAATCTATATTCTCAGAGAAATATCTTTTCATATTTTGTTTCTGTAATTTTATTTTTTAAAACCTTTTGTTTGCTGCCTAGAATTTGTTAGCATTGAGGAAACTTATAATTTTTTAATAATAACACAATAAAAATAGAGTAGAGAAACCAAGCTGAATGAAAAAGATCTAAGGAAATAGACGAAACTTTTAAAAAGTTTCTTGAAAGTGATGCAAGCGGGGGGGAGGACTCTAAAATCAGCTATAAATCATTCTCAGGATCTGTGGACAGTATGATTAAAGGACAGAATGGTAGTTGAAGTTCCCCCATTGTTTTCATACAATTGTATATGATTCTGAACCCAGCACAATCACTTCAGATGGGCCATAAAAGGAAAAGTCCAGATCTTTTTTTTTTTTTAGATAAGTAAATAAAATAATTTAGATAAAAAATAAAATAAAATCTACAGAAAAAAAATCAATTACTGACATCACAATGCTGTATTTGGTTTGCAAAGTCAGGTACCTATTCTTTGGGTACAGAAACAATAGGCAGAAAAGTGTTCACATTTTTTTCTCTTTGAAAACATTGTAATAATGATCCTCACAGAAAATTTGATGCTTTTACTATATTTAACAATATAGTTCAGCATTTAGGGAAAATTCTGATGGTTGCAAAATTCTAGGAATTCGAGTCTGCACATCTTAAATTTGCCAAAGTTGAGGAACACCATTTATCACACCACCATTGTGCTGTGATTTAGAAGATCCATGAAGATCTGGCTCCTTACCCAAGCCTTTGGCAAGGGAAAATAAGATCATTCACTTCATCACGCTTGCCATCTTTTATCTTTGAGTGTTTTATTATTTTTACTGTAATTCCTTTGTCTGAATGTTGTAAGCCGCCCACAGAAATAAACATAACTAGGCCCATTCCTGAACAGTGTGTCAATCAGGGAAGAATATCCTTGGGGCACAGGAAACAGCTGCTGCTGTGCTTAGTTCCTTAAGCTCAGATGATCCGGGATGGTGGATTCATTTATGACTTCCTTACCATGTTTCCCCAAAAATAAGACCCTGTCTTATATATTTTTGAACCCGAAATAAGAGCTTGGCCTTATTTTCAGGGAGGTCTTATTATTTTGGGGCACGTGGAGTGAGACGGGGATCCTCTTGCCATCTTATCTGATTTCCATCTCTGTCTCTCTAACCATAACCAGAGAAAACAACTTACTAGTTTAATGCTCCAGCCCCATTGGATTCTTCAGGAACAAAGGACTAGAAAAATCTGGATTGAAATCTGATATGCCATGCAAAGGCAGCAAAAATGTAGAAGATTGAAGCCATTATAGATCATCAGGATCAAGAGAAAATTGCAAAAAAGTCTCTTCTGAAAAAGCTCACTGCCATTGTGAGAATGTCTACTTTCTAAAACCAAGCCCCTGTGTGGCACTTCAGTTGAATGAAACAGGCAATTCAGCCTGGGATAATGGCCCTATACTGTCTCTTTTAACTCTGAGTGATTGTGTATAAAACAAATCTTGTGTCTGCATCAGATACATCCATGGCATCCAACACTTTTATTAACAAGATGAAAGCAAAATTGAACCATCACAACACAAACTCTAACTCTTTTATATACATGTACAATAACACAATGCATGTACAAAAGTGTTAGATCAGGCGTAGGAAACAGAAGACGTGACCAGCTCGATACATTTAATAACTTTATTAGTTACAAAAGTAGCAAGACAAGACTGCTGGCGCGCTGCCGGAGCTCTTCTTATATTCGCTCCCGGCAGACGCACCGCCCCCTTGACAGGGATTCAAATCTCCCGCCCGATGGCTAGCAGCCAATCAGGGTGGATGTCCTTATAAGGACATAACACTCCTCCCCCCTTAGTCCGAACTGTCAAATCTCGTCCACAAAAGTCACGTAATCGCGCAGGTACGTAGGACGCCTCGGCACCCTAGCTGACCTGCGCAGTCTCACTTCTTCTCCGTCTCCGGCCTGGATGGACGGGGCTCCTTCGTCTCCTGGTTCCCTCTCCGGAACCGGGCTCGGTTCGGCTGTCGAGTGAGCGGGATCACCCCCAGCGCCTCCGGCCGGACCGCAGACCTCGGATGGCTGGTTCTGTTGGTCTTCCTCCTGGCCTGTGGATCTATCGCCTCGTCTCGGTTGCTCGGTTCCGACCCGGGAAGAGCGTCTGAGTCTCGGTAAGTCTGTCGCTTGCTCCTCCCTGGTCTCCCGGGCGCTGCAGTTTGGTCGCGGTCCGGCCTGCTGCCGGTTGGGTGGTGGTTCCGCTCGGTGCCCTCGGGTCCGGTCCGCCGGCTGCGGGTGGTGCTGGCTATCGTTGCGCTGTCTGACCTCGCAGGGGTGGTGTTGGTCCCCTCGGTTGGGCTGGTGTTGGTCTACCCCGTCTGGTTGGTGGTGGTCGACCTGGTTGGGACGTTGTTGCGGGACTACCTCTGCGGAGCGGCGGAGGTCTCCCCTGCCGGGGTGGTGTAGGTCTCCCCGGCCGGGTTGTTGTTGGCTTTCCCTTCCCCCTAGTCCCTGGTCTACCGTCGGGTGGTGCCTGGGGTCATCCGGGTCGGGTTGTTGTTTCCTGGCTGTCTTCTGCGATGGGCGGGGGTCCCTCTCGCCGGGGAGTCGTGTGCCACCCTCGCCCATGGGTGGTGGGGTGCCCGCCGACGTGACAGTACCTGGTAGTGTGCGGGCCGACCTCATCGGGATGGCGTTGCTCTGCCTCGCAGGGGTGTGGTAGGCCTACCTCATCGGGGTGTCGTAGGCCTACCTCGCCGGGCTGTTGTAGGTCTACCTCGTCTGGGTGTGGTAGGCCTACCTCGCCGGGGTGTTGGAGGCCTACCTCGTCGGGGTGTTGTAGGCCTCCCTCGTCAGGCTGGTTTTCGTGTGCTCCCCCCCACCTTTTCCGGAGTTGGTCGATGTGACGTCTACAGACCTGTCCATCTTCCAACTCGACGGTGTAGGATTTGGGGCCGGTTGTGCTGGCAATCTTCCCCTTCAGCCACTTAGGAGAGCCGTTGAAATTCAGCGCGAAAACTGAATCTCCCTTGCTGAAGGCGCGAAGCGGGCGGCTGGCGGTTGCGGTCACTTCCGGGCTGTATTGGGGGTGCAGCCGGTCCAAGGGTGACCTCAACCTTCTGCCCATCAGCAGTTCGGCCGGGCTCTTGTGGGTGGTGGCATGTGGCGTGATGTGCTGGGTGAGGAGGAAGTTATCTATGCGTTCTTGCCAGTCTCCCGGGCCCATCTTGGTGAGGGCTTCTTTGGTCAGTCTGACCATGCGTTCCGCTTGTCCGTTTCCGGCCGGCCTGTAGGGGGCGGATAGGGCGTGGCGGATGCCCAGTCCTGCCAGGAAGGACTCCATGGCCAGGGATGTGAGCTGGGGGCCGTTGTCCGAGACCAGCACGTCCGGTAGTCCATGTGTGGCAAACAGACGGCGCAGGGCTCGGATCGTCGCTTCTGTTGTGGTAGATGCCATGGGTACCACCTCGAGCCACTTGGAGAAGGCATCTACCACGATGAGGAGGTGTCGCCCCTGCATCGGACCCACGAAATCGATGTGGATCCTCGACCAGGGGTTGCTGGGGGTCTCCCACTTTGCGACTTCGGATTGCGGCGGTGCTGGGCGAGCTTCTTGGCACGGGTCACATCTGGAGACCCATTGCTCAATGTCTCTGTCCATGGAGGGCCACCAGACGTAACTCCGTGCCAGGGCCTTCATGCGGACGATGCCCGGATGCCCTTTGTGCAGAGTCTCTAATGTTCACCGTTGCAGAGTGCTTGGAATCAGCACCCTGTCTCCCCATAGCAGACAGCCCTTTATGGTGGACAGCTCCTTCTGTTTCCTGGCGAACGGGCTGAACCTCTCCTCTGCCTTTTCCGATGGCCACCCTCTGAGGATCCAGGACTTCACTTGGCGGAGTGTGGGGTCCTTTTGGGTGTGAACGGCCACATCCGCGGATGACACTGGACAGCTGGCGTCGTCATCTATATGGAATAGGTGGAGCGTGGGGGCTGGGTCTTCGACTGGATTCTTTGACGGGCATCTGCTGAGTGCGTCGGCGTTTCCTATGGCTGTGCCTGGTTGGTGCACGAGCCTGTAGGAGTAGCCGGCTAGGAAGATGGTCCATCTCGTCATCCGTGGGGACATGAAGGTCGGGGTGGGTTGGTCGCCTGCGAGGAGTCCCAGGAGTGGCTTGTGGTCGGTGACTATGGTGAAGCATCTTCCGTAGAGGTATTCGTGGAAGCGCTTCACTCCAGCCACGATGGCCAGGGCTTCTTTGTCCAGCTGACTGTAGTTCCGTTCTGCGCCGGACATGGTCTTCGAGAAGTAGGCAACTGGGGCTTCCGTGCCGTTGGGCAGTTCATGGCTGAGGACTGCCCCCACCCCGTATGGCGACGCATCACAAGTCAGCTTGATGGGCAGCGTCTCGCTGTATTGGATGAGGACGCTTTTGGACGTCAATAGTCCTTTGATGGCCCGGAATGCTGCTTCCTGTTCCTGGCCCCACTTCCAGGAAGCCGATTTCCCCAGCAGGCGGTGGAGTGGCTCAGCAACTGTGGCTTTCTGTTTTAAGAAAATGGCGTAGAAGTTGAGCAACCCAAGGAACGCCTGAAGCTCCGTTTTGTTTTTTGGGCTTGGAGCTTCATGGATTGCTTCCACTTTTGATTTGGTGGGGTGGATGCCCGTGCTATCAATGAGGTAGCCCAGGAACTCGACTTCCTGTAATCCGATGATGCACTTGTCCCGCCTGACTCTCAAGCCCTTGGCCTTGAACCGCTGCAGGACGAGCCTGAGCCTCTCAAGGAGTTGAGCTCTTGAGTCACCGGAGATGAGCACATCATCGAAATAAGGCACCACCCCTGGAACGCCTTGGAGAAGGCGTTCCATCATAGATTGGAAGATGCCGGGGGCAGCGCTGACTCCAAATTGGAGGCGGTTACATTTGAATGCCCCCCTGTGCGTGACAATTGTTTGTGCCTCCGCCGTCTTTTCATCCACTGGCAGTTGCTGGTAAGCCTGGGCCAGGTCCAGTTTCGCGAAAATTGAGCCAGATCCCAGGGAATGCAGCAGGTGTTGCACAACTGGGACTGGGTATGCGCTTTGTGCCAACGCCTTGTTGATGGTACAACGGTAGTCGGTGCAGATGCGCACAGACTCATCATGCTTCAGTGGGGTCACAATGGGGGTCTCCCATGAGGCATGATCGATCGGTTCCAGGACGCCCTGGGCGATCAGCTTATCCAGCTGCTCGTCTACTTTAGGCCGCAGGGCAAACGGAACTCGGCGGGGCTTAAGCCTAATTGGGGTGATTCCCTTGTCCAGATTAAAGGAAATTGGCCTCCCCACAAATTTCCCCAGTTTACCATCGAAGACTTCCTTGAACTCTTCGATGATGGTGTCGAGTTCGTCCCTGTGGATTTCGTGGATGCCCTCGATAGAAAGCCCCAGCGGCTTAAACCACTCCACACCTAACAGGTTCGGTCGGCTGTGCTCCACGATGGTGATGGGCAGCTCTCCGTTGAAGTCGTTGTACTTGATGTGGATGGTGGCTCTGCCCAGGATTCCAATGGGGTTTCCGTTGAAGTCCACAAGCCTCGACTTTGGGGTTTTCAGCTGGGCCTTTTTGTAGGATGGCTTCAGCTGCTGTAGGTGCTGCCAGTCCATGATGGAGTAGGCGGATCCGGAGTCTACCTCCATCTTGCACGGTGACCCCTCTGCCAGCAGCGTCACATGGAATTTGGTGGTCCCCTCGTCACTTGTGTGAGCGATGGTGGTCTGGTGCACCGTTCTATTTCAGGGATAGTCCTCCTCCCCGCGCCGGGACTGGTTTGAGGACCGTTTGGATGTCCTCTGGTTGTCTTTGCGATTCTCCCGGACTCGTGGTCTGGGCGGTTCCAGGGCTGGATCGGTGGCTCTGCAGGCCTCTGCGATGTGCCCCCTCTTCAGGCATCGGCGGCAGGTCGCGTCCCTCCATCTGCAGGTTGCCCTGGGGTGGTCGCCTCTGCAGCTGCCGCATCGTTCTCCCCGGTCGCCATGCTGTGGGTTTTCCCGCCTGGGGGGGCGGGAGACCTTGTGGACGGCCATTTCCTCATCTGACTCGGATTGAGTGGTTGCCTCATCTGATGAGGTCAGGCCCGACTTGTGGATCTTATGGATCCCTCTTGCCTTTATCATCACGGCGGCTGCTTGCTCGGATGTTTCGGCTGCTGTTGCCTCGTCGAGGACGTCTTTGAGCGGGATCCTCTTTCGGCTGAGGAATTTCTTCTGCAGCCCCACATCTCGCATTCCAAAAACAACGCGGTCTCGGATGGCATTATCCACGTTGTCGAACTCGCAGTTGGCAGTGATTTGGCGAAGCGCTGCCACGAATTCCTTGATGGATTCACCTTCCCGCTGGTTTCTTTGCTGGAAGGTGAACCTGTTTGCGATGGGGGTGCCTGTAGGTGCGTAGTGCTCCTGTAGGACTTCCTGCAGGTCGTTCCAGGACATCTCCTCAATGTCCCTGGGTGCCACGAGGTCAATCGCCATCTCTAGGATGTCCGATCCGCAATGAGCCAGGAAGAGGGCTCTTTTCCGCTCATCGTCGAGGTTCTGGTATCCATTACCTCGCAGGAACTGTCAGAATCGGACCATGTATGACCTCCACTTCTCCCGGGATGGGTCGAATGGGTTCAGCGCGGTCATCGGGGCTTGCGGGGTAGCCATTCTGGAAGTCGCTGTGGTGTAGTGACTTCAGCTCGGTGGGCGATCGTGCCGTGAGTCTTTCTCAGGTTCTCTTCTCTTAGTCCTTCGTCGCCAGTGTTAGATCAGGCGCAGGAAACAGAAGACGTGACCAGCTCGATACATTTAATAACTTTATTAGTTACAAAAGTAGCAAGACAAGACTGCTGGCGCGCTGCCGGAGCTCTCCTTATATTCGCTCCCGGCAGACGCACCGCCCCCTTGACAGGGATTCAAATCTCCCGCCCGATGGCTAGCAGCCAATCAGGGTGGATGTCCTTATAAGGACATAACAAAAAGGAACTTGTGTTAATATATTGCTACATTCTTCATTTGCTTCCCCTGCTCTTTGGAATCCTTTGGATCTCAGCATTCAATGGACAGGGTCAAATATAGTGCCCTATAGCTCTAATAGTTTCATGACAGCAGTTTGATAAAAATCTAGGATCTTTTCAGAACATAACAGTAATTTTAAAAAATAGAATTATAAATGATCTATCTAGATATCAGTGAAATGCTCTGTCCACAGAAGAATCTGAAAAATTATAGTGATGACAGTGAAGCAAAGATAATTAAAAGATTATATTTGAGTACTGTCTTAAAACAGAAAATGTTTGCGGCTGAAGTCCTTTCATGCTACTTTTGTGTTCAAAGGGATTTTTGTTTGATTGTGATTTTCTCTAGTTATACGTGTTGTTATCATTGTATCTAAATGTTGATGTTTGATGTTTTTGAATTTTTGTGACAATTCTGTTATGGCAGGCAGTGTGGAAGATGCATGAAAAGCAGGGAAAGTATTGAGGAACGGAGAAGAACCAATGGACATGGATTGCCTCAGCCTGCCAGTAAATTTTCATACCACATGATGTCACAGTGGGATTCATTCAGTGGTGGGTTGCCCCCGGTTCGCACCAGTTCTATAAAACCGGTAGTAAAACCAGTGGGAGGCTCCGCCCACTGACCCCAATGTCATCAAAATGCTTCTGCGTTTGCACAGAAGAGCGTGCACACGCATGAGCGAAACAAGCACACGCACCTGGTCTCCTTGCGAACCGGTAGTAAAGGTAAGTAGAACCCAGCCCTGGATTCATTTATTTTGCCTTACAGCCTAAACTACTGTTCATCATTGTGAATCCATTGTTGTTGGGTTTTTTTTAAAAAAAAACATGATTTAGCACGATTTATGAATCCAGTTTTAAGCTGCCATAAAATCATGGAGTCATTTAGGCAAAGTCCAATCTATTGGAGAAAACCACAGCAACTCCAACAAATGTCCATCCAGCTTTTGCTTGAACGCATGCAGCAGAAGAGTCTCCCTAGAGGTTGGATTAATTTTGACTTGCATAATAAACTTACAATGGTGTATTTTTAATCCAACGTTTATGGCATAGTATATTATGCAAGGCCTTCTATGGTTCCCAAAAATTTAGGTGCACATAAAAACTCCTAATGTGTCCAAACATTGCCACTAAATTATAATGTTTAATGTAAGAGAAATTGAATGACTGGAGAATAGTTATATTATTAATACGATTAAATTTAATTTTAAATCAGATCGTATTTATCCTGTCCCTATCAGATACTCTTTAAAGTACAGCCCGGCATGCTATTCCATTCCATTCCAAATGGAAACTTGGTCAAGAAGAAGTTATCTTGGCCTCCATCTGTCTTCCTATTCTATCAGCAAAATATTTTTGTACCCAAAAAAAAAAAGGAGTTGCAGATCTGCTGGCTTCAAGAAAGGTAATTTTAATTAAAATAATCCTGCTATCCAGAAATCTATAACCATTAAAACATTGAGAAGGAGTGGGTGGGACAACGTTGACATTAGAGGGTGTCGCTGGAGAATCATGGGAGGTTCTTCTTGGCAGGGCCATCCCAAATCCCTGCTCTTTAAAAGAGCAGTTTGCAATGTTGGAAAAAGCAGAATTCGTGTTGCAAGTGAAGCACACAGCTTGGACCGAATCTTCCGTAGGTAAGATAATGGAATTTCTGGGTTAGGCAAATTGCCAGACTAAAATCATAAGTCATATCATATTTTCTCTTGTTGTTTCAGGGTTTCTATCTTATTTCTCCACAGAAATGCTAATTTAATTTAGAGGATTCATCCTTTTGGCATATTAACTATGTTCATGAGGTTCTTGTCTATCTTTTAAAGATTAGGCTGGTTCATTAAACTGAACCAGCATACAAATTTCTATGCTCTCCTGATAGAAAACTGTGAACGAGTAATTGATTTTTAAAAAGCAAAATAAGACAGAAAATATGAATCAGTTTTAAATATTTATCATACTATATTCCCAAGACAATTAGAGTGATGTTTAAATGCAATTTTACTTCAGCCTGTTAATCCCACATCATAAAATTGGTCATGCCAAGTAAGAAAAATGGGAATTGTCTCATACCTACCCAGAGCATATCAGATTGGGCAAACATGATTTAAAGAACTAAAGCCCTGGAAGAAGAAAATATTCACAACAGGAAAAAAATGATGAAGAATATTCTTGATGTATAGACAGACAGACAGACAGACAGACAAAGAGATCTGCATAAACTATGTTCCATAAATTATAATGTTTTCTTTGGGTTTTCCCCCCTTTAGAATATTAAGATAAATCAGAAATATTCTAGGTATAATATAGTGGCTCTTTTTTCTTTTTTCCTGAAATAGGTCCAGAATCATTTGTCCGCTCTTAGTTATACCTCCTTATATTCTTCTTCCCTCATTTTTATTTTTGCATTAGCAGAACGAGTAATTAGCAAACACTCAGCCAGACTTTTCGTGCAGTGGAAGGAGGATTTGCAGCCACATTTGAAATTCAAGCTTGGTGATATGATAGAAGGGGCTCCATAACTTTTAAGGAGGTCCATAACTTTTTAAAAAATTCTATACATGAATGAGTAACTAGAATGAAAAAAAAAATTTCATTTTTCCACGGTACAGTTTAGAAAATCTAGCAAATTATCATTCTGGAGTGTTGACTTTTGGGGTTAGAGGAAAAAGACTGGAGGGGATGGGCTATTCAACAAACAGCATTCTTACTTTTTTCCAGATATGCATGCCAAGATGTTTGCTGGCCTGTTGCTGACCATTCTTCTCAGCATCAGTTTTTTAAAATCTGAATCTCAAGCAAAGGTTGTTCCAAGACCGGACAGGATGCAAAGAGGTGTGGGACTTGTCCGGCGGGACTGGCCAATGCAGCTGACCCAAGACCAGAAGCATTTGATTTCCCAGTTCTTGCCTCACCTGTATGCCTGTAAGATAAATTGCACATACCCTTTTCTACTCTCTTGGAAGTTCTTAATAATGAGTTGGGCCATTCTTAAGGAGGGTGCTTCAAAAGAATGAAAATAGCTGTTGTATTAGCAACACCTGAATTGTGAATGTGATTCTTTCAGGCAATGGAATAAAATCTGATTTTACAGATGATAGCAATACATCAAATTATTGCTAATCTTTCAGTCATTTCCCTCCTATCATGCTTATTCTTTATTTATATTGTATTTTCATGCATTTAGTAATTTATTGGGCTCTTGTTTTAAAAGGGAGGGGGAAGGTGTAAATATCATGCACAGGAGGATTACAGTTGATCTCATATAGAGTTGACAAATAACCAGCTTCTGCTACTAACACTTCTTGGTGTTTTTCATTGCAGCAGACATTCCTCCAAAAGTACATTTTTAATGGACACATCAATCTATTTTGTAATGCAGCTTTCTTAGTATATTAATTAACTTGTAATTTTTGAGGGAAGGAGTTTTTGCCCCACTATTACCTTGGCAGGTAACAACATCTCTTATTACTTTTAATTTTCAAAATCCCAACATTACTTTTGTCTCTTCAATCAAGTAGCCTATGTGAACAGCAGATTGAGGATAAAATTCAGAGCATATTGCAGAAACTAAATTGAAGTAGCCAATGATACCACTGCATGTGGTAAGAAAATTTTAGTCTTTTTTTTTTTTTGTAAAAGTTCCACTTCTATTCCAAAAATTTACTTCAGAAACTAAAGTTCTTATTCCAATAGAATAAAGTATATGTAACTCGGGACTAAAATGTAGAATCCTTAGTGCTCTCTGATCTTGGCTATTTGCTTGCAGACATTTCATTACTTAACTAGGCAATACCATCAGTGCCCTAACAATTTTACCGCACAAACAGACAAACCCAGAGAGCACAAAGACTCCACAGTATTATCTTCTGGGATATGGAGAATCAAATGACCCATTCCAAAGATTCATGACAATTAGGACCATTTAGTAACAGTAACAGAGTTGGAAGGGACCTTGGAGGTCATCTAGTCCAACCCCTGCTCACACAGGAGACCTGTACTAGGGATTCGAACCACCGACCTTTCTGATCGACAAGCTCAGTGTCTTAGCCACTGAGCCACCTAGTTTCTGCCTTCACCTGCCTTCCATTAACACATGCTATTTTCCAACAGCTGAACTTGCTGCTATGGGAAGTAATCTGAATGAGGATGATACGCATTTTCCAAATTGGATGGATTTTGGACGACGAAGCTCTGAAGATCAGGATGGAGATGCCTAAGTTATCCTGTGTCAGGGGTAGCTTAAGCCCCAGACAAATGTCTGGTAGACAGAGGCAAAAGCACAAATGCTAAATAGTTCTTTAATAATCATTTTGTCCATTTTCAGATAAGATTTTCATGTCTATTTGTGCCAATAAAAATGGTATTATTGCTACTGATAACTGCATTGGTGTGATTTATATATGGAGAAAGATGGGAGAGTTATTGGATTTTTAAGCTCTAGTTCCAGTCATCTGAAGATGTGAAAAGAACAGCAGTCTTAATCACAGAGCACACTAAATCCAACATAAATTACATGCTACCTTGATATTATATGTGAATCATGCCAGGCCTCTTGTTACTGTGGGTTAAAAATTCGTTTGCACTATACACAAATAAAGTAGTTTGTGCGCATCCATGTGGGTAGGAAGAGTTTAGGGTTCTGCCTGGAAACTTGGCAATTAATATCAGTCGTTTTTTTAAATATGAAGAATTTGGAATAAAGAGAGGGAATCTAACAGATGGAGCTTTCTTCTCTACTCCACTCCAGTGTTTATACATTTAAAATATTTCAGTTATAAAAGACATAGTCATTAAAAGTAAAAAGCTGAACAGAGAATCTCCTTTTCTATCCCAAGTACCTCCAGTTTAAAGATTGTTGCAGAAATAAAATTACCAAATGATAGAGGCTTCCAATACCAACTCAGCTTTCTCACTTGATTTTCTTCTAAACTTTCCCACCTACAGTCTTTTCCCTCTCTCAAAACCTGAATTTGCAGCTTCTTCACAAAAATCCTTAGGTTATAGTATATAGCCATGATGGTGAACCTATGGCACACGTGCCACAGGTGGCACGCGGAGCCATATCTGTGGGCACACAAGCATTGCGCTAGTTCAGCTCCAGCACCGGAAGTCGGGAAAAAGGCTGTTTCTGGCCTCCGGAGAGCCTCTGGGGGGGAGGCTGTTTTCGCCCTCCCCAGGCTCCAAGAAAGCCTCTGGAGTCTGGGGAGAGAGAGAAAATGCAAAAAAAAAAAAAAAAAAACCCAAACCCTACTAAATATCCAAAATTATCCAAAACAAGATTCCCTGGAAACGTATCAATATGCCAATTCTGCATGATAGTGCACTGAAACTAAAACTTTTCAGTATGTTTTTGGGGTTTTTTGCAGGGAAAAATTAAGGAACGAGGAATTCTTGGTGTTCCCTGAGCTTGATTGTTTTCTTGCAGTTGTTTCTTTTCTTGTTAGAACTGATGATATTACCTAGTTTGGGTAATGAAACATCTGCAAGAAAACCTCTACTATTTTCCCTTAATTTGACTCCAAATGCCCAATGGCGAAGCCCAAATTTTCAGGTGCACTGAATGAATTCCTGTCTAAAAGGATTACATCTCATGATTCTACAGGAACTGGCAGATGTCACTTCAGATCCACTGCTTGAAAGTTTTGAGGAAGTCTGGAGCATAGAGAAATTGCCAGTAGACCCAGAAAACTATAGAAATATCAACTTGATATTGGATCCTATCCAACAAATCTTACTCAATGATGAAAAGTGTAAATTCCTGCACTTAAGAGAGGAAAAAGCAGATGTACAAGTACATGCAGTTAGTTGCCTGCCTTAGAAGCATTTGCAAGAAGGATCTGGATATCCTAGTAGGTCCCAGATTAACCATAACCAGCAGTGTTCTTTAGTTGCCCAAAGAACCAATGTCGTTTTGGCCTGCATCAACAGAGGTCAAGATCACAGGAAGTGATAGTATCACTCTATGTTGCATTAGTCAGACCACGCCTGGATTATTGAGCAACAAAATTGATACGGGTTTGGAAGTTAAGTCCTCCAAACAGTGAAAGGAACTTGATATGCTTAGCTTAAAAAAGAGAAGACTAAGGGAAAACATGATCACCCACATAAAAGGGTGACAGAGTGGAAGGTGGCAGGATGTGCATTTATTCTCAGAGCAGGGGTCCCCAACTCTCCTAGGCTGTGGCCCAATATTGGCTGCATCCTGTTGAGAACCAGGTTGTACAAACGACAGGTGAGTGAGCAAGCGTGCAATGCTCAATTTGTGCAAGTGGTGGGCGCACCTACCCATCACTTGTGCAAAACCATCTCCTTTCCTTCCGCTTTGCCTTTTCCACCACCAGTCTGCAAAGCCAGAAAGGTTGGGGATCACTGCTCCAGAGCACTCAACAGTTAGATAAAAACCAATGGCTGGAAGCTTTACAGTAAGGAATCCAAACTTAAACTAAGATGGAATTTCCTGATTGCAAAATTCTATAATAAAAGTCTTCTAAAACAGGATTTCTGCTTTGCCTTTCATAAAAACAGCAGCTGCAAGAAAGTTTATGATTGTTGGATCATACACTTGAGTAAGGGATTGCTGAAATATCCACAAATTTATGGCATATCTTATTTTTATTTTAAAGGAGTGTTACAAAGCAAACAGTGGAGCAGATTTAAAATAAGGGGCTGTTGAGAAAAGCATTAATTCAAACCAGGATTCTGACCATTACCATTTGCAACTAGACCAAATGCTCTGCCTCAGTTTTCAAGGTTTGTTTGAATGGTATGCACCTGTTTAACTTTGGGTGAATTTAATTTAATTAATTTAATTAATTTAATTAAATTGAACCCAAATTATATGGTTAAGATGGATTTGTTAGACCACTTTTAACAGCTTATAAGATATGAAACTCCATATCCACTATATTTATTTTTATTTATTTATTTTATGCAATTTGTATGCCACCCTATCTCCACTCCACTATATCCACTCTCCCACACATATTTTTATTTTACTTGTGTTGTTTTACCAGAAACTATTTTTATTACTTTTAAGTCAAAGTGAAACAATAAAATTTGGGAGGCTCTAAATAATAGAAGTTGTTTATGCATATAACTACTCAACCTTTGGTTTTTACATCTGGAAATTTTTTATTTTATGGCAGGGTAGTTGTGCTAAATTAGCTCCACAATGAGAGAATACAACTTGAAAATATTATGTATGCTGATTTACAATTTGTAATTTAAGGTATTTGCAAAAATACATTTATGCGGCACTTTATTACAAAAGTTACATTATGAATTTTATGAAGCATCCAAGAATGACTTAAAATTGTCCTCTTTCTTATTTTCATGCTCTTCTGTGGCTCTTCAATTTGTGTTGTATTAAAATATATATTTTGCTTCTGGCAAACCCATCTTGAATTCTCAAAAGCATAATTGAAGCATCTACGTCTGGATGCCCATTCAAGAAAAAAAAGAAGCTGAAAAAGAGTGACTTGTCTGATTAACCATGTATCAACCTAGCACAGTGATGACTAACCTTTTTGCCATTGCGTGCCAAAAATGAGGGGAGCGCGGGGGGGCACACACATATGTGCCCACACCCATAATTCAATGCCCCCCAGGGCCCGCCCCCCATGCATGCACACGCGACCCCACCACACTCCCCCTGCTTTTGGCATTCGACGGCAAAAAGGTTACGGGTGAGGCTTTCTTGGAGCCTGGGGAGGGTGAATGCAGCCTTCCCCCTCCCCATGGAGGCCCTCTGGAGGCCGAAAGTGGCCCCTTTCCCAACTTCCGGTGGGACAGCAAGGCTGAAAAATCAGCAGGCTGGCATGCATATGTGCACTGGAGTTGAACTAGGGCAATGCTCGCATGCCCACAGATATGGCTCCACGTTTCACCTGTGGTATGCGTGTCATAGGTTCGCCATCACGGACGTAGCATCTCCCATCATTCACAATCAGCATTGCCAATTGACCTATTATAATCTAACACACTTTTTTTTTAAAAAAAAAAATTTATTTATATGCCGCCCTTCTCCGGAGACTCAGGGCGGTTTACAATGCATTAAGCATTAGCCTTCATACTTTTGTATATTTATACAAAGTCAGCTTATTGCCCCCACAAACTGGGTCTTCATTTTACCTACCTTAGAAAGGATGGAAGGCTGAGTCAACCTTGAGCCTGGTGAGATTCGAACTTACAGTAATTGCAGACAGCTGGTGTTAATCAAATGCTTTTTAGTCTGCTGAGCCACCCGGCACACTTGAAGATGGTTCAAGTGAATATCTTCGGACTTCTGGGAACATTGGCTTTCCTGTTGTTTTCTGTCATTGTTTCCATCTTACAGATGACTTGCTTCAGTTTTATATTTTAACTGTTTTATCTTATTTTGATTTTTGGGAAAAAGTAATAGATACTTCTTAACACATTTTGTGTTTCTTCCCTGAAGCCTGAAGAAAGTTGGAGTCTTTTGCACTTTGGTTTGGCTCATAATGAAGCCAAACAATCATCACATTTTCTCTGCCTCGTTTTACCCATAGAATTAAAAACAAACAAACAAACCAGGCTTTTTTCACCTTTAAAAGGAAAGAATTGATGGAAGCGGACCCCCCCCACCCCCCCCATTTTTTTAAGCGTAGGAAGTATATCAGGGCGCGTTTAAGACCCTGCGGAATCCAAATGGGTCTGTCCCGTCTGCCTTCCCCCTGCTTCCCAGAGACTCCTGATGGGCCTCCAAGTAGCTGGTCTGGTCAGAGGAACGGAGTCGCCGGCCGCAGGGACGGCATGGAGCGGAAACGATGGGGGTTCCTGCTGGCTCTCCTACTCTTAATAGCGTCGGCGCCTACAGTGGGCGCGCAATACGAAAAATACAGCTTCCGCGGCTTTCCAGAAGCTGAGCTGATGCCTCTGCAGAGCGCTTACGCCTATGCGCTGGAGCAGTACGAGGGCGAGAACTGGAGGGAGAGCATCCGCTATTTGGAGGCGAGTTTGCGCCTTCACCGCCTGCTCCAAGACAGCGAGGCGCACTGCCATAAGGAATGCGCGGGGAGCGAAAAGTTAGACACCGGCCCACTTTTTACAGAGCTTTCCAAGGGCGCGTGGAACAGCCCGTCTCCTTCGGAGCTGCTTCTGAAAGGCGGTTCGCTCGTAGGGCTTGAAGGCAGCGCGGGATGCGGCGCAAATGCTTCAGGGATCACGCCCGGCGATGGTCTCCAGGACCAGGAGATGGAATACTTCGGGCTCGTCCTCCAGCGCGCCTCCTGCCTGCGGAGATGTAAGGGCAACCTTCCCGTCTTTCAGCTCACCTACCCGCCGACCGAGACTTTGCGAGACTTTCAGCGGCGCATTCCTTACCAGTATCTTCACTATGCGCTTTTCAAGGTGAGCGTGGGATTAGGTGGGGGGGGCGCGGAAGCTTTGTACCAGAAGCTTTGTTCCATTAAGTGTGTGGACGGTTCCAAAGAGGCATTTGCTTAGTTCTTGATGATATACCGTAGGCGGAGCTTAAGGGATGCCTCGGCATTTAGTTTCGTTTAACGACCATAATAGGAAAAGGCAACTTCGTAACTGAGCAACGCAATCGTTAAGACATCACGTGACCGCCATGGCCTTACCACCTTGTCCTAGTTAAGCAGGACATTCTCATGACAGCGACTTGCTTCTCCATTGACCAGCTGTCAGAAGATGGCTGTAAGTGGCAGTCATGGTACTGAGGAGAGCTGCCATGACTGAAAATGCTTGCTGGTTGCGAAGCGCCCAAATCTCCCATCATGTAACTGTGGGAATGCTGAGAGAGTCATAAATATGAAGACCAGTCGTAACATTACTTTTTCAACATCACCTTAATTCAAATAATTGCTAAAAGAGACGGTTGCTGTTCTGGAGTCGTTTAAGAATAGACAGAAATTAAGAAATACTCCTGGGGCAGTAAATTTCATTTTCTATCTTACTGAGTGACTACAGGTAGTCCTCGACTTTAACAACCATAGTTGAACCCAAAATTTCTGTTGTTAAGCGAGACAGTTGTGAAATGAGTTTTGGCCCATTTTATGACCTTTCTTGCCACAGCTGTTAAGTGAACCACTGCAGTTGGTAAGTTAAGTTAGTTAAATGAATCTGGCTTCCCCGTTGACTTTGTCAGAAGGTTGCAAAAGGGGATCACATGACACTGGGACACTGAAACGGTCATAACTATGAACCAATTTCCAAGCATCTGAATTTTGATCACATGGTCATAGGGATGCTACAAATGATGTAACTGAAAAACTGTCATAAGTCACATTTTTCAGTACCATTGTAACTGAATGGTTATTAAACAAACTGTTGTAAGTCAAGGATCTACCTGTAGTAGGTTTGGGGGGGGTGTATTTGTGTGTATGTCTGTGTCTGTGTGTGTGTGTGTGTGTGTATGAAGTATTTCCATTTATCAAATATTAAAACGGATGTGTATTGCAAAGAAATAATATTACCATTAATATTTGTATCTAAGCATCCTTTGGAAATGAAGCACTGCCACTATAGAGCTTGTATCCCTTGGGCCGCACTCATTTCCATTTGCTGTTCCTTTGAATGACTTTATTTAAGGCAAATCTCCTTGGAGGTGACCAGTTGTGCCGTAACAATATCAGAAAGATGACAGGTTAGTCAGGCCTAATTTAAGTAATTGATTTTGATTTATTCCATCTCCATATTCTAACAGGAGGCATCAATGCCAGTGGGATAATTTAAGTGTTCATTCAATCAGGCCAAAACCACATTCTGTTCTCACACTGGCCAACAATGTGGCCTTGGGAAGTTAAATTCCTTAATGCAAATTGATGCACCAGGAGGAGTAAAGGCAGAATCCTCCCTTTTCCCATCTGCCCAAATGCTGCATTGAAATCATGATCATGTGCTCTCAAAATTTGGTATTTAACTTTAAAAGTTCTGAAACATTATTGTTTGCCCAAAGTAGATACGGTCAATCATAGAATGAACAGATGGCGTGTATGGGGAGGTTGTATTGTGGCTCTCAGTTTTAGAAACCTGCAGGATTCATCGCAAAGATTCATCGCAGCAGACAGATCAGAAATGGAATTCAGGAGCTGGTGGGAATAAAGCTGATATATTAAACCAGTTCTTATCAAAAAAACAAAAAAAAAACAAAACCCCAATGCAATCATTCAAAATGATGCAATAGTTCTGATTTGGGCAAAGTGATAAAAAAAAACTCCATTTAACATGTAGGATCCATACTGCCTGGGTGCTGAAAGAAAAGAAAAAGCAGTGATCACTTTTTCTTCTTCTTTTTCACAGTATTTTTTTCTTTTTTGTTGTTGTATCTTTTTGTTTTGTTTCATTCTGTTTGTTTGTTTTACTGTTTTGTATTTTATTTTTTATGGGGGAAAAAATGAACTCCAGGGAGCTCAGGGTTATTCTGACTTAACAATGCTCTGTTGTCAATGCCCAAAAGTCTGCATATGAATATAGTACATTATTCCATATTAATCAACCCATTTGGCAGCTCCCTTTTAGCCATTACATTAGCCAGAGTCTCAGCTTGCTCTTAGCATATATAGTACATTTTTCCTCACTTGTGACCCTTCCAAAATACATGTTTTTATGGAGGGATGATCATGAAACATGTAAATCCTCCATATTGAACAGCCTTCTCTTTGATAGCATGCTTTCCAAATGAAACTAAAAACTTCACTGGAATCCAGGGTCGATATGGGGGTGGAGAGCAGAGGAGTCATACTTATGTCATCTCAGGCTTTTTTTCCCTTGTTGGGTTTGAAGCCCTTTCCTTTGGCTCTGTGAAGCAGAGTGGAGACATTTTCTTCTTGCCTTTTTCCAGCTTCTTGTGCAGCTACATTTGCCAGTTGAAAAAGGTGCATTCTTTTTTCCCCTTTGCTCTTTTCCATTGTGGTTCTTTCTGGGATCAAGTGATTTTGAAGAACTCTGGCCCTTTAAATCGAGAGGGAGCAGAAGCTACTGGTCTTTTCAGATTCCTCTTCCTCCTCTTTTCTCTCTCTTTCTCTTTTTCTTTCTCTCTCTCCCTCCCTGCTTCTTTTCCCGATGCGGGAGTTCTTCTATACCAAAAGTATTTAATGCCACGTCTCTCTGGTGTACAGATCCCAGACTTTCTCAAGTGGACATAGAGAGTATTAACGAATGAGTTTCCGTACTCATTTGACACCTCCCTCCCTCCCTCTTTGTTAAGTTAATTGATTTTTGTTGAATTCAGAAGCCATTTACTCTTTTTCTTACCAGAAAGTTATATGATAGGTACTGCAATGGCTACAGAGTACTTCAGTGTTAAATGCACATGAGGTTTCTCCAGGGAAGAATCTGTCAAATCAAAATAGCTTTTGTGTGCAAAGCAATAAGCACCGGTCTCTTTGTGCATATTGGATTGCTTGTTTCTTAGTGTTTCCCATTCAAGTTCTTTATTTTTATTCATACTAACATGTGGGGTTATGGGAAATTCCATCTTAGTTTTATAATGGTTATTGCCCTTTTCTATCATGGATAGTAATTTCTGTATACATATGAATCAGATTCTCTGATTTGTAAATTTTGTTTAGGTGCACCTAGATGCACCTAAATGTGACTATTTCATCATCATTTGTGTTTGTGTTTACAAATTTGTGCCAGTATTATTTGCATATCACCTTTATTATTATTATTTTTACAAATAACTGAGGCGGCAAACATATCTAACATACCTTCCTCTTGTTTTCTCCCCAACAACAATCCTGTGAGGTGGATTGGACTCAGGGGTGAAATCCAGCAGGTTCTGATAGGTTCTGGAGAACCGGTAGCGGAAATTTTGAGCAGTTCGGAGAACCGATAGCGGAAATGTTGAGTAGTTCAGAGAACTGGCAAATACCACCTCTGGCTGGCCCCAGAGTGGGGTGGGAATGGAGATTTTGCAATATCCTTCCCCAGGAATGGGGAGGGAATGGGATTTTGTAGTATCCTTCCCCTGGAGTGGGGAGGGAATGGAGATTTTGCAGTATCCTTCCAAGCCATGCCCACAAAACAGGTAGTAAAAAAATTTGAATTTCACCATTGGTTGGACTGAAAGCAAGTGATTGGCCGAAAGCCATCGAGCTGGTTTTAATGGCTAAGATGGTACTTGAACTCACAGTCTTTGCTTTCTAGCCTCAGGCCTTAACTATAAGATCAAACTGGCTCTAGTTTGGTCTAATGCAGAGGGAACATCACTGTCCCATCTCACCCATCCTGTCTGGGAGATGGAGCATGAGCATGTGTGGAGGGACCCTAAAGATGGTGAACTATGCGTGGGCAGGGCGGAGCTAGAGGAAACTCTGGGTGGAGGTCTGAGCAGGCCTGACATGCAAATCAATTATCAGATGTGGGTCAAACCATCTAGTAGCTGGTTCCCTCCAAAGTTTACCTCAGGATAGCTGGCACCTGGGGGCACAAGGCTGCTGCAGTTTTATTTGGTCAAGCTAGATTAGAGGTCTTGGGGCTGAAACTATGTCAACCTATTCTCAGACTTTAAATGAGTAAAAAACCCGGCTTGCTGGCATTGGAACGTGAGACCTAGTAGGCCGCTTTTGGTAGGGCCTAGCCACAACAATGCAAATATCCTCTAGGACAAAATGGTTCCCACTTTAAATGATGTGGAAGTAGGAATGGATTTCCAGAGGAAGAAAAAAGAATTGCAGACTACAAGAACCAGGAGCACTACTCAAGTGACCCCGAGGACATAGATAAAGCTCCCAAGTGCTTCAATTGTTGGGTTCGGAGAAGACGACACTGAGGCCAGGCTGCTGAACACATTAACTTTATTGGAACAGTCTAGGACGAGCATAACAGAACTCAACTGAACTCCCCAGTCTGACAGCTGCTTAAATAGCAAGCTGTCAGACAGTGTAACCAATCCGGAACCAGGCAGCTTCCCGCTAAGTCAGTTGCTGTGCGCTTCCACCAATCCGAGCCCGCTGATGACGGAGCCGGCTCGAGGCAGTCGTACCTGCGAGGACTCAACACCAATGACCCTCCAAAAGGATGCAAATGACCTGTGGTATTATTACTATCCTTCTCATTTTCTCTACTCCATCTTATTCATATTATTATCTCTTTTATTCATTAAATGTGAAACTCTTAGTCAACTGAACATTTAAAAAGGTGTCACAAATATGATTGACTGGTACTAATGATTGATACGGGTTCCTGCTAGTGTCCTAGGTATCAATCTAGGTATTATTATTATTATTATTATTATTATTATTATTATTATTATTATTATTTTGTTTTGCATGAACACTGAGAACTTCTGCACTGGAGACAAATTTCTTGTATGTCTAATCACACTTGGCCAAATGAAGTATTCTATTCTGTTCTGTTCTGTTCTGTTCTGTTCCGTTCCGTTCCGTTCCGTTCCACTCCACTCCACTCCACTCCACTCCACTCCACTCCACTCTCCACTCCACTCCACTCCACTCCACTCCACTCCACTCTACCTATCCCTATCCCTATCCCTATCCTTATTCTTCCTAAATTTGATTTGTTTGACTGAACCATGTAAGAGAAATAGATATTCTCCAAATGGAAGATGTACAATATGTCTCTTAATATTAATACTGCAGATAAAGAAAACCATCATATGTCCTTTACATCAACATCCGAGGACATTTTTCAAGAAAATTTCTTTAATTTTCTTTGTTTAATATGCTTATATTATTTTGGTATCTAAAACAAAATATCTTCTTTTTGGAAATAAAAGTTTAGAAAGTTATACATTAAACAACTATTGGATACCCTTTTAATATTCATAAAGGAGCCCTTTGTGACAATTACTTTAAAATGTTTATTCTCAAGTCTCATACTGAACATTTTCTCCAAGAATAAAAAGATGATAAGAGCATCTCCAGAGGCTTTGAATTATATCTCCCATCAGTCCCAGCTAACATGCAATGTTGGCATTTGAAAACTTACATATGTGATAAGGACTAGGTTTACCAGTATGTAATATCTGATTTCAATACCTAAGACACAGAATAGAATAACAAAATAACAGCATTGGAAGGGACCTTAGAGATCTTCTAGTCCAATCCTCTGCCCAAACAAGAGACCTTATACCAGCAATCCCCAACCCTTCTGACTTGGCAGACCGGAGGGGGGCGGAGAGGGATAGGGGTAGGCAAGCGACGGGCAAATTTGCATGTGCAGCTGCATTTGCATACGAGGCTGCCGCTGACACAATAGAATGACTGATGCAGTTACTTAAGGAATTGTCATGGTTGATGATAGGCTGGAACCCATGTCTTCCCAATCCTAATACAATACTTTGGTACTAACTATATAGGTTCTACAAATAAAATCCTTGTTCGGATTTTTTAAAATCTTCCTGGATCTTGCACTAGGTCATTGACTACAGGTAATCCTTGACTTGCAGCAGTTCATTTAGTGACCGTTCAGAGTTACAATGGCACTGAATAAAATAACTTATGATCGTTTTTCACAGTTTTGCAGTATCCCCATAGTCACGTGATCAAAATTCAGAAGCTTGGCATCTGGTTCATATTTAATGATGGCTGCAGTGTCCTGGGGTCACGTGATCACTTTTTGCAACCTTCTGAGAAGCAAAGCCAATGGGGAAGCCATATGCACTTAACTACCAGGTTACTAAGTTAACAACTTCAGTGATTCACTTAACAATTGTGGCAAGAAAGGTTGTAAATGGGGCAACAATATATGTCTCAACAACAGATTATTTTGGGCTCAGTTGTGGTCATAAGTCGAGGAAGAATCCACACATGTGTCCTTTAGGGTCTGCAAAATAAATCCCTCTGGTGAGTGATCCATGAAGTTCAAGCTGTTTGATTTAACTGAGGCAAATGAAACTGGAGCTGACCTCCACTTTCCATAAGCATTTTATTTAACTTATTAATCTTTAAGTTGAACACAGACCATAGTTATAGAGTTGTATCTCTTTTGGTGTTTTTCTATATTTACAGTACTCTCAATATCTTCATCAATGATTTAGATATGGGGATGCATGGAGAACTCATCAAATTTGCAGACAACATCAACCTGGCAGGAATAGCCAATACTCCAGAAGATAGGGTTAGGCTGAAAATCCAGATGGGATCTTGACAGACTTGAACACTGGGCCCTATATAAGAAAATGACATTCAGTGGAGAAAAAAGTGAGGTTCTACATTTAGGCAAGAAAAACCAAAAGCACAGGTACAGAATAGGGGACACCTGGCTCAATAATAGTACTATGAGGGGGATCTTGGAGTCCTAGTGGACAATCGCTTAAATATGAGCCAGCAATGTACCGTAACAGGCAACCAACACAGTCCTAGGCTACATTAACAGAGATATAGAATCAAGATCACATGAAGTGTTAATATCATTTAACAATGCTTTATTAAGACCACACTTTGAATACTGCATCCAGTTTTGATTACCACAATGTAAAAATAGATGTTGAGACTCTAGAAAGAGTACAGAGAAGAACAACAAGGATGATTAGGGGACTGGAGGCTAAAACATATAAAGAATGGTTGCTGGAATTGGGTGTGTCTAGTTTAATGAAAAGAAGGACTAGGGGGTGACATGATAGTAGTGTTCCAATATCTAAGAGGCTGCCACAAAGAAGAGATGGCCAACCTATTCTTTAAAGCACATAAAGGCAGAACAAGAAACAATGGATGAAAACTAAACAAGGAGAGAACAGACCTAGAGCTAGGGAGAAATTTCCTGACAGTTAGAACAATTAATCAGTGAACAACTTGCCTCCAGAAGTTGTAGGTGCTCCAACTGGAGAAGAGATTGGACAACCATTTGTCTGAAATAATAAAGGGTTTCCTGCCTGAACAGGGGATTGGACTAGAAGACCTTCAAGGGTCCATTCCAACTCTGTTATTCTGATGGGAACCACATCAGCTCTTTTTCAGTCTTCTGGTCTCTGGTTCTCCAGGATCTTTGAAAGATATATTGCAATGGTTCCGAGATCACCTCTGCCAGTTCCTTGAGAACTGTGGATGTAATCCATCAGGTCCTGGTGATTTGAGTTCATCTAGAGTAGACAGGTATTCTCTTACCATTTTCTTGCCTACTTTAATTTGTATTCCTAGTCAGTCTTTTAGGGTTATGTTTTTGATAGGTGGAAGAAATGTGGGACTTTATTAGGACTACATCAATGAGATAAAATAACACACAGTGATGAAACAAACATAAAAATATCAAATTATAAGTGGGAATAGAAGGCAATGGGCTCTAACATGCTAGCTAAACCAACTATTTAATAAACCATCAAACTCTGGTAAATATTTAGATGTGTGCTGTGTATTGGACTCAACGGAATTTGTCTATTGATTCATGGACAGGTTTTTTTACATTATTATTTTAGCTGGCCAATCCTTATTTTGAGCAGACTAGCTAATGTTCCAAGATCAGTGGTAAATTGGTTTACACAAAAGGAAATAATAGCTGGGGGGGAATTTTAAAATCTTAGGTGAATTATCAGCCATATTTTTAATAGTAATTGCCTTTTTCCAATACTTTCTATTTAACATAAGATTATTTAGAAGCATCCAGCTGTTCATGTTCAGTCTTATATTTTGTGCAGAATTAATTTAAAATACCCATTTTTAGCCATTTCTTAAAATGGGCCAGTTTACTCCAAAGTTATGTTTGCTGGAAGTAAATTGCATTAACTCAAATCTGTCCTATTTAAAAGGGATTAATTTGTCTTACAGCATTTGTCCACTAGATGGTAGAAAAAGACCAGCAAATATCTGAAGAGTTTAGAGAAGAAATATGCCAGAAATGAAAGAGTTTGGAGATTAGGGCTGTGCAAAATATTTGAAAGACGTGGTTCACAAACCTGTTAGAAAGAACAGAGCACACCTCATTGAAGCATGAAATCGTTTTCATTCTTCGCAAGGCTTGTGCAGCTGCTTTGAAAACTGATCCCAATTGTGTCTGCTTTTTTTTTTTTCACTGCTGGTTCCAGATGAAATATTGTGTATGCACATTTTGTACCACAGATTGGCAACCAGGGAAAACTTTGGAAGCAGTAATGCAGTGCAATTCAATCCTTTAAAGAGAGGTTTTTAATGCTGCGTTAATGTTTTTTTTGCAAAGCACCTCCTTTATTGCTTGATACTGCCCTAATACAAATGAGAATCACAAGACCGGAAGGGATCTTGGAGGTCTTCTAGTCTGCCCAGGGCAGAAGTCCTTATATCAACCTAGATAAATGGATGTCCAATCCAGTGCTGACAAAAGTTCATTTCTCATGATAACTTTTCATACCTTCTGGCTTTTTGCAGTAGGCTTGATCCAAATTTAATCATGAACAACTATTAAAATCAATAGAATTTGGGTAATTTGAAAAAAACCTTCTTTTTCTTAAGAACAGAGTAGACATGTTTACAGGCTTTCTGTTATTACAATTACTACTTATGGGAAATTTTAAGGTCATTATGAAATCAAAATACGTTGAAAATAATATGTACGCTCTAACTGTATAACAATGAATGGTAGCAAAGTGGATTGAATTAACGTTTGTTGGTATGGAATCGATCTTCCTTTCATTCAAAATCCAGAAATATGCCTAAATAACGAGAGCTATATTAATTGGAAACAATATTGCCACCCTGAGAACAATGTTTGCTGTGCGACCAGATTGAAAAATATATGTAAATAACGAAACTTAACTAGCTCAAAAATGCTATTTTGCCTGTTAACATGGGCATCCCCAGAAGAGATGAAGATAAAATGTGTATTGTTAGGCAAACGATGTAATTTATGTTCTTGAATATGATATAAAGACACAATTACAAAAGACCAGGTCATCCTGTTACAATCTGTTATTTTGTACCGTTGCAATTTTCTACTGTATGATCACTGTTCCTGAGCCATATATTTTGGGAGCTGATCTGGGAGCTACAAAAATGATATTGGGAGTGGTGGGTGTTGCCTACTCCTGGTCAGAAGACTGAGAAAAAAAATTACAGCAGTTTGGTGTAATGGTTAATATGACTGGCCTAGAAACCAGGAGACTAATTCTGAAAGCTAGCTAGGTGACCTTAGGCCAGTTATTCTCTTTCAGCTGAGCCTACCTCACAGGGTTCTTGTTGTCGAGAAAATAGGAGGAGGAAGGAATATTATGGATGTTCACTGCCTTGAGTAACGTATAAAGTAATAAAGGCATAATAAATAAATCAAATAAATAAATAAATCCAGTAAAGAAAATAATGTTGTCTATTGCTAAGTTGAATTGAAAAGGATTTCTCATTCTTAAGTGGAGCCCCCTACTCTCTCCTATTCCCCAACTCCTCAAAGTTAGGAAACAAGCCTCGTTTCTGCCAACCTTGAAAGACTGAAATAAGTAAATATCATTTAATTACACACTCACACCCAGATTCCCAGATCTTGGAGATTAGCACAAAAGATAATCCTCACACCCCCCCTTTCATATCTGGTAAATTAAAATAAATCATTCCCATCCACCCCCTTGTTTCATGTCAAGCACATTTATTGTTATATATAAAAACACTGATTTTTTTTTTATAACAACGTAAGGCTATCTGGCCCTTGCATGTAGTTTTCACTAGTATGAGAATATATTTTTAAATTGAAAAACTGCATTTATGAAAATTAACGGAATAACAGAATATTTCTTGCCTTTATGAAAGACGAAGGATATTCTGAGCAGTGGGTGGTCACTAAGCTCAGCTTTAATGTGTCAATTCTAGTTCTCTGCTTGCTATACAACAAAGATTCTTGCATTCAGAAGATGAAGTTTATAATTGGTATATTTTAATTGGTATATAATTGGTATAATTGGTATAATTATATATAATTATAAGGGAGCTCCTACTCTTTTAATGTGTTCAGACTCCTTGTTTTACTCTGCCCGGTATCTTTTTCCTTTGTTGCTTCGTTTCTTCTTTCTCTGGCTCCTGAAGCAGCCTATAAAGAGAGATGCTATCTTGCTTGGCTTTCGGGCAGCACCTAAAGAAAATTAAAACCAACGTTAAGTTTAGCCCTTTGAGGTTGAGGATGAGGGTTAATTGAATAGGACTGTGGCAGGAGCCTTAGCATAAAGATGACAGTTCTGTAGATTTTCTAATACTATGTACTGCTTGATGCTAACATCTAAATAGATTAGATTAACAGATTAACAGAGAGTTGGAAGGGACCTTATAGGTCATCTAGTCCAACCCCAAGCAGGAGACACTACACCATTTCTGACAAATAGCAGTCCAATCTTTTCTTGAAAGTCTCAAGTGATGAAGCTCCCACAACTTCTGAAGGCAAGCTGTAGAGCTAGGTCTTCATCTTGTGGGATATACAGAGATATATGGGTGGAAGGGTTATATGTAAAAGAAGGGAAAATAGTGCTGGGAATAATCCTACTGGCTATTTTCATATAATAATGATTAGCTTAAACATAGCTTGTTAAATTTTTGTGCTTGTGCAGCATGCTGACCCATAATTACTATTGAGGTCCAAGGCTTCTGGTAGCCTGTTTATGATGTTACTTTCCCCACGTTCTTTTGCAATTATATTTGTATTTTGGTCTGTGACCGCAAATAAAAGTTATTATTATAATTACTATAGAGGCTATTTGTACAATGCATTTGGCTAGTTTTTATTCCATTGTATATGAGTAGAATCTGAGGATATAAAATAACTGCTCTGTTTAGCTCAGAATTAGTTTCTCTCAGTTTTTTCCCCAGAAATTCATTTTGTGTCATTACTTGTTTATCCACATTAGAACAAGAAATCAGAAACTATGTCTAGACACAGACTTCAGTCTAGCTTCACAAAGGTAGTAAACCATTTGGGGCATAAACTATGTCCGTGGTTGATTTTGGATATATTCAATGATAGATTGTGGATTCTAATAGATTTTAGCAGAAGAACCATATATTCTTAAAGGAAAAAGGTTATTCTTCAATACTTTAGGAGGTGCTGCTAGGAATAAACTTGGGGACTTTAATTGCAAAGCATATGTATTCTGCCTGTAAACTATTGTTCTATCTTGTTAAGGTGAAGAATAAATAGAGGAAATGAGGGATAATGTTAAACCATATTTGAATTATCTTGCTGCCAGAAACTCCAAGATCCATACAGTTTAAGTAAGAAAATTAACATTTTACATTTTAAAAAGTTAAAAATATTGGAGCTGACATTAAAATTGCAGGGGGGCAACCAGTTAGAAGCCGTTGAAATTATATTTCAAAGCCAGCTTTTACATGTATCTTTAAAGCTGTGAAATTAAGACACATTTGGGGGGTGGGCTGTATGGAAAGTAAAATCTACTGTTGAAAAGCCTCTTTCCAGTTTCTTTAAGAGATCTTTTCCCAGAAAAATTGAGAATAAAAATATCTCATTTTTAGATCTCCCTGAAGAAGGTAAATCTTAAAATACTCAGGTAGTTTAGTATTGGCAACAAAGACACTACCATAACTTCACTTTAAAAATGCAGATTATCATTTAATGGCAGCAAAGAGATTAAAAATATATCAGCCCCCACTGGTGCCATCTAATGTCTGTCCCAGCCTGTGTGGCCTAGGTATTAGTAGATCTAGACAGAACTTCAGTTGAGCCTGATCACAAAGGAAAGGAGGAATAGAAGGCCTGATCTTGGCACAGAAAGAGAGGAAGAGAAATGAAGAGAATGAATGGAAGATTAAAAAAAAAACAAGGAAACATTATAAAGAAAATGAAATGAAATGAAAATAAAATTATTTTCAATTACAAGGGGTACTATTGGAATTTTTGGTCTTAGACTCTAAACTGTCATGGAACATACGTAACTGCTATGCTGTATAAAGATAAGAATGTAGGAGTTGAGACTGTTACAGAATCAGAATGGAAAATTCATGAGAGGGAGGAGGGGGAATTCAGTTTTCATAGAGCTGTGAAGCTTTCAAAGTCTTTCAACCATTAATTTCAGACATATGGGACACAGCGTTGTGGTATAGAGCGTAGCATTTATATGATGGACAAATAAGCTTTAGTGATGAGTCTGATATTTTTCTTCTTCAAGTGTTTTACAAAAAGTCTTCACAAGACTTTAAAAACAAAACAAAACTGGCATTGCAATAATATTTATTTTGATCTTCCATTAAGAACACAAGGATGAGTCCAAGATATTTCTAGTCCGGCATTTCAGATACTTATGTGCATTGAATGTATCATTTCTGCCAGCTGCTCTCAACAGATTGCCTGGAGATGCATTTGAGTGTAGTGAATGGGAAGAAATCCTATCTGCACGGAGGTCAGACGTGAAAGAAGTAAAAGAAAACTTAAACCTGATCTGTTAATCAAATATAATCTGTCCATCTAGATAATGGGCAAATATTGTCTAAAGTAAGAAAATAAAATGTTAAATATGATATCTTCCTACTCCTACCCAGGAAGGAATAGGAAGATATTCTTTCTCAGGTGAGCTTTCTTTTTTCTTTTTTTTAAAGGGACTGTTTTATTGAGGGGGGTGTTTATATGCCATTTCTGTCCCAGGGGGAGTGGGACATGACATCCTGACTACTTTAGAACTAGGACAAGAAGGCCATAATACCTTGGAATCCAGGACTGGACATCCAGAAAATATAGCAGCAACCTATCATTTAGTGGAAATTAAAGACAAATTTGGACTTTTAATTTTGCTTTGAAAACAATTTGAGTCTTGGTTATTTTATTTTTTATTTTGTTCTGCTGGCATGAATGTAACTGTGGGGAGAAATTTAAAGGTCTTCTCAAGGGAGCATATCTAGCCCATCAATTTCCATGCAATGTGTGCACTGAATGTGCCCTGTTACATTAAGCAACAACTGGAAGCCATGATTATCTCTTAAAAAATAAGAAAATACAAGGAAAACATAAGAAAAGCCTGTTTGGATCAGGTCTGTCCTGCTTAGCATTCTGTGTCGTGTAGTGGGCTGCTGCATGTATTTGAGAATCTGAAAAGCCTAAAGAGGAGGATCATAGTTACCGTATATTCCATAGTTATTTTCCCCCTGCGACTGGTACATGGCATTCTATTTACGATTTGGGAGGTAATAAACTGCTATTAATAGCTATTGAATACATGGTCTTTCATGAAATGTCCTTTTAAAACCATCCAAAGTGGCTGCTGTTATTTCAAACAGTAAATTCCATTATATTTAATTTAAAAAAGTATTTCTTTTTGTCTTGATACTTGCGATATTTATTTTTAGTGGGTGACTTGGAGTTTAACCATTGTGAAACAAAGAAATAAATTTCTTTGTATCTGGATTATCTATGTCATGCATGACTTTTTATCGTGTGCCCTCTTACTCTTCTTCATTTCAAGTTAAAAGGGATCAGTTAGTCTAGACGTAGCCTTTCCTCATAGCTGAGCTGTTTCAATACTCTAATCATTGTAGCTACTTTTTCTTATTTCAACCTTTTCTAGTTATACAATGCTCTTTCTCAAATGCAGTGACCAGAACTGGTCAGCAATACTTTTTTATTGCTTGTGTTTCCTTTTTTAAAAGAATAGTTCATTGAATTATTAATAAAGAAGCAATGCCTAAAGCTTACATTGGTATCATCCTGAAATATCAATTTCTCAGTCAACAGCTACTCGGTATTGTTTCTGTTGAGCTCAACATGTTCTTCCCCATCTAGACTCTCAGGTGATGATTGGTCCACGACCAACAAATGGGGTATCATCAACAAATCAGGAGACTAACTCCAAAGGAAGTCTAAGCTATACTTTACTAAGATAGGCTACAGTAGCAAAATCATGCATGATTTCCTATGTTTTTCCTTTCCTCACAATTGGAAGGAGGGAGAATCGGTCTGAGAATTTTTCTAATACTTTCCTACATCCCTGGGTTTAAAGCAAGCTTCAGCACCTGTTGTTGTCCTAAAGACTTCTGGATATTTTCTCCAAGATAATTTCCATGGCTCCCTACATGGATGATGCTTCCAACAGTTAATATACAGGTGAAACTCGAAAAATTAGAATATCGTGCAAAAGTTCATTTATTTCAGTAATGGAACTTAAAAGGTGAAACTAATATATGAGATAGACTCATTACATGCAAAGCAAGATAGTTCAAGCCTTGATTTGTCATAATTTTGATGATTATGGCTTACAGCTCATGAAAGCCCAAATTCACAATCTCAGAAAATTAGAATATTACATGAAATCAATAAAACAAGGATTGCACGTAGAACAATATCGGACCTCTGAAAAGTATAAGCATGCATATGTACCTGGTTTGGGCCCCTTTTGCATCAATTACTACCTCAATGTGGCATGGCATGGATGCTATCAGCCTGTGGCACTGCTGAGGTGTTATGGAAGATCAGGATGCTTCAATAGCGGCCTTCAGCTCTTCTGCATTGTTTGGTCTCACGTCTCTCATCTTTCTCTTGGCAATGCCCCATAGATTCTCTATGGGGTTCAGGTCAGGCGAGTTTGCTGGCCAATCAAGCACAGTAATCCCATGGTCATTGAACCAGGTTTTGGTACTTTTGGCAGTGTGGGCAGGTGCCAAGTCCTGCTGGAAAATGAAGTCAGCATTCCCATAAAGCTTGTCTGCGGAAGGAAGCATGAAGTGCTCCAAAATTTCCTGGTAGATGGCTGCGTTGACCCTGGACTTAATGAAGCACAGTGGACCAACACCAGCAGATGACATGGCTCCCCAAATCAAAACAGACTGTTGAAACTTCACACTGGACTTCAAACATCTTGCAGTGTGTGCCTCTCCATTCTTCCTCCAGACTCTGGGTCCTTAGTTTCCAAATGAAATGCAAAAGTTGCTCTCATCAGAAAAGAGGACTTTGGACCACAGAGCAACAGACCAGTTCTTTTTTTCTTTAGCCAGGTAAGACGCTTCTGATGTTGTTTGTTGTTCAGGAGCGGCTTGACAAGAGGAATTTGAAGCCCATGTCCAGGATCCGACTGTGTGTGGTGGCTCTTGATGCACTGACTCCAGCCTCAGTCCATTCCTTGTGAAAGTCCCCAACACTTTTGAATGGCCTTTCCTGACAATCCTCTCCAGGCTGCGGTCATCCCTGCTGCTTGTGCACCTTTTTCTTCCACACTTTTCCCTTCCACATAACTTTCTATTAATGTGCTTTGATACAGCACTTTGGGAACATCCAACTTCTTTTGCAGTTACCTTTTGCGGCTTTCCCTCCTTATGGAGGGTGTCAATGATGGTTTTCTGCACAACTGTCAGGTCAGCAGTCTTTCCCATGATTGTGATTCCTACTGAACCAGACTGAAAGACCATTTAAAGGCTGAGAAACCCTTTGCAGGTGTTATGGCTTAATTAGCTGATTAGAGTGGGACACTTTGAGCCTAGAATATTGAACCTTTTCACAATATTCTAATTTTCTGAGATTGTGAATTTGGGGTTTTCATGAGCTGTAAGCCATAATCATCAAAAGTATGACAAATCAAGGCTTGAACTATCTCGCTTTGCATGTAATGAGTCTATCTCATATATTAGTTTCACCTTTTAAGTTGCATTACTGAAATAAATGAACTTTTGCATGATATTTTTTCGAGTTTCACCTGTAGATGTTAAATGAAATAAGGGAGTAAATAGAGTATTGGAGTTGGCATGGTATTGGACCTGAAGGCATGATCTCCAGTCTGCTACAAGCTCTTGACTGAAATTGTCCAAATAGGAAGGATTGGAAGCAGTGCAAAATAATGTATATTATACATTACGTATTATATAAACATGAGGTCTGTGTCCTTCTAAGACATCTTATCTTGAAAACTTCATTCTCCATTGTGGCTTTAATGGAACAAATACATATCCTGAACTAGGAGCAAATTGCACTGATTTCAGGGGGTTTTTTTGCCTTTGAATCAGTCTCAATTCCTGGTGACTAATTGCACAAGTCCCTATAGTTTTCCTGGCAAGATTTCAGAAGTGATTTGCCATTGCCTTTTTCTTCTTAGGGCTGAGAAACAATGAATGGCTCAAGATCACCCAGTTCTTTTTGTGTCCAAGTCAGGACTAGTACTCACAGTCTCCCAGTTTCTAGTTTTAACTATTACACCAAACTGTCCCTCGTGTAAACCCACTACATCTACCCAAAAAGGGAGATGGACATACATGTATTTGGTATAATATACTGGATACCCCAATGTATCTAAGTGACTGACTGGCTGTATATATTCATTAGGAATTGTTAAGACAGACAATTTCCTTAATATATCAGGGAGGCAGTGGGAGACAGTCTCCTTGCTATGCTTCATAATATCTTAGTTCATCTAATTTCACTGCAATTCTTAAAGAAGAAGTAACAATCAGCTAGGATTCCCTTGTGCTCAGGGAAGCATTGGCCGAGGCAGTGATATTTTGTCAGCTGGGGCTTCCCTGTGCTTTAGTATCAGCAAGTGAAAGGACCACCAGTGGATACTGTGTGACCTGTTTGGTTAATGTCTATGAAGATAGTAGTTAGTCATTCTTTGCTGCCAGTGTACAGCACCATTTGCTATACAATGGTGTGCAGAGTGAAGCTGCTTTAGGTTCAGAGTTCAGCTTTAATATTGTTGTTTCAAGAGGGAAGCTTCAGTGTTGTTTCTTGTTTTGAAATGTGAAATGTCCAGTTTGAAGATTGTAAGGATCCATTGAAAAGTAGAAACAGAGGATGCAATACATCATTTTCTTCCTACACAAACACAGTCCTCTTTAAATCAGAGTTATACTGGAACAGTTTTTGATATAATTTGACCAGCCAGAGCTACATCTTCCACAACAGCTGGATATAATGTCAGAACAAGGAAATTTTCAAACAAGTTTTCAAACTCTGAATTTGATTGGGAGTATTTTTTTTTTAAATTGAGTTTTTAATATTGTTTTTTTTTAAATATTATTCTTGTTCTTCTTATTGTTCTATGAGAAAATTTTAGCCTACATTTTAAAGTTCAAATCTTTAGAGGAGTCTGATATGAATAAAAGCATGAATTGATATGTGATAAAATAAAAATTTCCAGAAACAAATGGGATATCCATGTAATCACATGATCACAACATGCAAAGAGATTAAAATATTTATAGATTAAAATTGAATAGTGATTCAATGAGATGATAAAGCACCTATGTAATATAGTCATAAAAACAGAATTTATCACAAGCTTTTGCCAGAAGAAATATAATTTAGCTCTGGTTACTTGTATTTGACTGTTGCCCAGGCAATGTCAGTATGTAGAATGAGGAATGATTAAGAGTAAATGATGGTTTATTTTCCTTGTGCAAAAAATAACACATTAATCATCTCTTACCTCTGTGTCCAGACCTGCTTTGACTGGAGAGATTCTTCCTAACTGGTTTTCTGAAATAAGAATAATTGTGCAATATTAGAAATTTATTGCTAAATACCATAAGAGGTTTTCCTCTTTTCTATGACTAATAAGTAAACAAACAGAATGCCCCTCCCCCCTCTTTCTGGTTTTATGATTCGTGGTAAGATTAAATCACAAACTATATAAAGAGAAAATAAAAAATAAAATTGACAACCATCTGCACCATTGCAATAAAAAGTAAAATTTAGTGCACTAAATAAAAATCACTGGCCTTGTTAAGCTTCTCTTATTAGTTCTTTCATATGTGAATGTTAAGTACAAAATGAAGGGAAGTAAGTTAAATGAACATCTTAAGGGTTTTTGTTTGTATTGCAGTTACAGGTAGTTATTGACAGCTCATTTAGTGGCCGTTCGAAGTTACAACAGCACTGAAAAAAGTGACTTGTGAATGTTTTTCACACTTATGACCATTGCAGCCTCCCTATGGTCACATGTTCAAAATTTGGATGCTTGGCAACTGGCATGTATTTATAATGGTTGCGGTGTCCCGGGGTCATGTGATGACCTTTTGCGACCTTTAATGGGGAAGCCAGATTCATTTAACAACCATGTTACCAACTTACCAACTTAACAATTGCTGCCTGCTCTGGAGCATCACAGCTACATTTTGAAGAAGAGAGATTTCCCCATTTATGGAAGAGACTAGTGTATCATTGATCCATTATGCTATAGAAATTATCTAGAAGGCACTTTAGATGTATGTTGGAAATGTGAAAATATGACAGGACATTTATCATGCTTGATGGACATATAAAAAAGCTTTAAAAAAAGTTTGGATCCAAATACATATTTTGACACAAAAGATTCAAAGATTAATATTCAGTTGAAGACATTTTTTTTTCTTTTTAGGATTGATTAATGAATAAACAATCATGGAAAATTACTTCAATATCTGATCACAGTAGCAAGATTACTTGTATGCATGGAGATGGAAAGATCTGCCTCTATGGAGGAATAGTTGTGAAGTAGACAGATTTTCTGAAATAAATACATTAGCTTCTTTGATTAGAGAGAAGACATTAATTGCTGACCGGAAGTCTCTTATGAACCTTTTATGTAAAAATGAAAAAAAAAAAAAGAACCTGTGAATGGTTAGACAGGATCGATTATTAAAAAAAGTAATGTGATATAACTTTAAAAAGAGAGGTTAAAATATATGTGTACTTATCACAGTTGTGAAGGATACAGGAATTCGTTTCTTTAACTTTTTTGTTTCTTTTCTATTTTTCTTTAACTATTTTTCTTTTTCTTGCACCTTTTTTTACTTTGATTTCTTTTTCTTTTTTCTTCTCTATTTTCTATTAGCTTTTATCTTCTTGTTTAAAAGTTTTTAATAAAAATTATACATTAAAAAAGACATTGCATTCTCCTTCAGTAGGCTAGGAATATTATCATTGCCTGCAGAACTGTCAGTATTGAAGCCATAACAAAATCTCACCTATCCCTTTAGAAGAACATTTGTTAGAGTCAGAAACTATGCACAAATGAAACATAGCATCCTCTTACCAGCAGCCAATAAAAGGAGTTTTGGTGAGCAATCTCAGAACATCATATGAATAAGTGCGTGTAAATATTATGGGGAGATCTCTGATATGCGTTCAGAGGGCACTGTTCCACACTATGTCTCACTATCTGCTTTGGAGCACTACAGCTACATTTCGAAGAGGAGACTGCAATGTTATGTTCTCTAATTCTATTGTGGCCTCATAGCTCCATAGACTGGGGCAGAGCTGAAAGGCTCTGAGGAGGGAGATTGAATAATATAATAATATAACCCATTACCTCTGTTTAACTTTCACATACCTGTACCTGTTAATATCCAAGTTTTCTGTTTCATCACCAGCACCAGGATTCTCTATTTTCTCCCTCTCTAACTTTTTTGCAATGTTCTTGTTCTCTGGGGTTGTTTGATAGAAGGCCTCATGAACATTCTCTATTTTGAGAGGTGGTTGTTTGATTTCAGGAGTGAGGGAGCTCTTAGAACGTACAGTAGTTGGATCATTTTCTTTTTTGGTTTCCTTTGCCTGAGTAGTGGGGTTTTGAATGACAGGACAAATACTCTTCTTATTCTTTGTCTTTTTTTCAGGTGCGCATTGAGATTCCCTCTGAGGAGGTAGGCTCTGAGGAGAGGAATATTTGGAGATTGAATTTTAATTTCCCTTTGCTATAATTCTGTAAACTGGAGTTGACAATTTGTAAGTTTGAGACTTAACATCCCAGTATAGCCTATCACTTTAACCTGAGATTTAGGCAAAGGGTTTAATTTACTTTCCTGTGGGGAGAACTGCAGAGTTAAGGCTTTTTATGTATTTCAGCTGCCAACTCCCATACAGTATATACAAACATAGAGGGAATGGATTTAAAATGTCCTTTGCCTCTGCCTCAGGTGTTGAATGAGATAGTATTGTTTCACTTTATGTCTTTGCAGCTCCCAGAAGTCTCACAGTATTTTTCAAGTAAGGTCAACACTCTTTCTGCTGGGGAGTTGAAGAAGGTTAAAGTGTGCAATTAATATATAAGCTAAGCTAAGCTAAGCTAAGCTAAACTAAGCTAAGATAAGCTAAGCTAAGCTAAGCTAAGCTAAGCTAAGCTAAGCTAAACTAAACTAAACTAAACTAAACTAAACTAAACTACTAAGGTTAAAGTGTGCAATTAATGTATCGTACTCAGTGTGCAGTCCTCAACTGAACTACATCCACATGGAGGGAAATAAGCAGTGGGATACCCCAAAGTTCTATTTTAGGCCCAGCACTCTTCAATATCATCATAAACGATTTAAATGAGAGAATTGAAGGGAAATTTCATCAAATTTTCAAATGACAGTAAAATGGCAGGAATAGCCAACACCTTAGAAGACTCAAAAGATCTTGATAGACTTGAGCACTGGGCCCTATCGAACAAAATGAAATTCAGCAGATAAAATTAAGGTTCTACACTTAACTAAGAAAAACCAATTGTATAAATATAGAGTAGGTGAATCTTGGTTTTTTAATCCCACTATGAGAGGGATCTTGGAGTCCTAGTGGACAATCACTTAAATATGAGCGAACAGTATCCCCATTTATCTTATTTATAAATATTTATTTATTTATAGTTTATGGTTTTTATATTTATAGTTTATATTTACATTTATTTATAGTTGAATATATGTCCCCATTTATTCGTATCCATTTCCTGTATTCATAATCATGTTTATACTTATATCTGTTATTTTATACATCCTTGATAAATAAATAAATTAAATAAAAATAAAAATAAGTATGTGGCAGTAGCCAAAAAAACCAGTGCAAGCCTATGCTGCCTTAACAGAGGGATAGAATCAAAACCACATGAAGTTCTAATATCGCTTTACAAAGCCTTAGTAAGACCACACTTGGAATACTGCATCCAGTTCTAGTCACCACAATACAAAAAAGTGTTGAGACTCTAGAAAGAATGCAATGAAGAGCAACAAAAATGATTAGGGGGCTAGAGGCTAAAACATATAAAGAATGGTTGCTGGAATTGGGTATGTCTAGTTTAATGAAAAGAAGGACTGGGGGATACATGATAGCACTATTCTAATATTTGAAGGACTCCTACAAAGACAAAGGGATCAGACTATTTTCCATAGCACTAAAAGGCAAGACAAAAAACAATGGTTGAAAACTAAGCAAGGTAAGAGGCAACCTATAAGTAAGGAGAAATTTCCTAACAGTGAAAGCAATTAACCAACGCACTCAGAAGTTGTGGGTACTCCATCACAGAAGGCTTTCAAAAAGAGACTGGACAACCATTTGTCTGAAATGATGTAGGATCTCCTGCTTGAACACGGAGTTGAACTAGAAGACCTCCAAGATCCTTTCCAACTCTGTTATTCTATGTTCTATGTTATATCTAAATTCAAGTAACATCTCAGCACAGCCTATGACTTTAATCTGAGATTCATTCTTCTGCAGGAAGAACTGCAGTTTCTGTTAAGATTCTTATGCATTTCAGTTGCCAACTCCTGTATATACAAGCACAGAAAGAATAGATTTAAAATGTCCTTTGGCTGTACCTCAGGTGCTGAATGAGAAAGTATTGTCACTTTATGTCTTTGCAGCTCCCAGAAGTCTTACAGTATTTTTCAAGGAGGGTCAACACCCTTTCTGCTAGTTTTTGGGAGTTGAGGAATGTTAAAGTGTGCAATTAATGTATTGAGCCTTGCAGGAATTGAAGGCATCCATTTAATCTTCTAAAATTTTTACTCCCCATTTTGAGTTGTTTATTTCTAAGTTGAGTGGGTTTAGGGAGAAAAATAAATGCCATAATACTGCATCCCTTTAAATTAAGGCCATAAAATTTGACTCAGGTGACACTATATTATCATTGGTTATTCAATATGTGATTCCCGAAAGAAACAAAAACAGCTTATTGCCACAAAAAGGTTACAGATAGCCTTCATTTAGTGACCACAATTGGGACCGACAACTCAGTTATTAAGTGAAGTGGTCAGTGAGTGAAACCACAACTGTACTTATGGTCTTCAACTTTGCTTTCCTTTACAGACCTGGAAATATATATGAGGATTAGTCACAAAGTTACTTTTTCATCACTGTTGTAACTATGAATGACTGTTACAGGAGGCAATCACTAACCAGGGACTACCTGTATTGTTTTTTGCCTTAGACCAGGGTTGTCAAACTCACGGCCCGCAGGCCGAATGCGTCACACACTGGCCACGTCCACGCCCCTTTAGTGAAGGGGGGGAAAGGCCTGATACATCACATACAACACGAGTTTGACACCACTGCCTTAGACAGAGAATTTAGCTCAGCTCACCCTTTTGTTCCTTGTAATATATAAGGGCAGTATATCTCCCGCCTTCACTACTGTCACTTAAGAGCACAGGAAGCATCCTGCTGGAACAAGTCAAAGATCTATCTAGTCCAGCATTTTGTGGAAAACAATGACATGATGCATTCAGAAAATTCATAAGCATGACAAAAAAGAGATAGACTTCTTCCACTATTGTTCTTTTGCAAATGGTCTTTAGAGTATATTTATTCTGCTACTTAATTCTTTTGCAAGCAGAGATTATCTTATAATATGGGAAGTAACACTGCATATTAAGGTGAGTGCCTTGCCTGAAATTTTGTTACAGTTCTTGATGGGAGAGAAAAGGATAAAGAGCAGTTGACTTGTATGGATATGCAAATTTGGCTGGCCTTGAGATCTTTGTTCCAATCAGATACATTCCTGAAGTAATTAACTGATTCCAATAGTACAAGAAAGTTATGTGCTTCGAAACAGAGATGCATTTTCTGGAAATTAAATATATATCTGTAAGTAAGGAGTCCATTCATTTTCAGTAAGAGAAATGAAAGATTATTTTCTATTTGTTGTGCTCCTTGATAATTCTCAGGACTTCAGAATTAATACAACTGAGGGGGATCTTACTTTAGGTTTCGGAGTTGGAACTAGAGGTGCACCATGCTTCTCCAATTTTTTGTTTTCCAGCTTCTGCTGGTTGAAATTTATTTTTGAAGATGGCCGTAGTATTTGCACAAGCTTGATCCAGCAAACAAAAAGGTCTTGTTGCTGATGTGATGCAGGGTACAGCTGAAGGTAGTAGGTGCGGCCAGTCACTAGTTTAAGTCGCAGCTGCTTCTTTTCCAAGTTGTGGATTGAGATATTGACCAAGCACAAAGGGAATAACCTATGTGATACAAAATGGTTTTGAAACACTGAAGGCTTTTAGATGCAATGTACCTCAAGATAGTATCTGAAGGGTTCACATGTAGGAAAGCACTTCATGTTTCCTTATTAATTACAGTCAACTGGTTCTTTATATTTTAATAGATGAGTCTTTATATGGATCAGTATCTTGTGCTGCTCCTTTTAAGTTTCAATATTTTAGGAGTAAACTAGATGACCTTGATGGAGAGATAGAGAAATTGTTGCTTAGACAAAATTTGCTGAAAATTTTTTAAAATCCTCAACAAGATAATATTCGGAAGTAGTTCAGGCAGGTGCCTAGCTAATTCACTGCAACATAAGAAGGACAAGGAGATACAGAACACCGATATAAGAGAATATTTTAGTATTTCAGAGTTAAGCACTGATAATATTACCTAGTATGGTAACGAAAGGACTGCAAAAAAGCCATCAAGCTCACAAAATACAAGTACTCCCTGGATCAAAACAATTAGACTTTCAAGATTATTATATTCAGTCTCAATAAATGTGTTTTAGCCTACTGGTTAATTAGCTGATTTGGAAAAAACATTTGTTATAGAAGCTAACATCAAGCTTACAACTCTCATTGTTTCTGTACCTCTTCCTCCTCCTTATAGTTCAGTATATTAGGGATAAACAGCTTCCAAATGTTATCTTGCTGTAGATGTTAAAAATGATTCTGCCCCTTATGCCTAAACTGCAGATCCTTTTTATCTACAACAAGGTTGTCTTCTTACTCCATTCAATGTATAGTTTTAACAGGATATACAGTATTTTGAAAAAGGTATTACAAATTTTAGGGAACTGTTTGATGAAAATGGCATCTGGGTTATTTTTGTTTTTTGTTTTGCTTTGGATCTTGCTTGTTCCAAAAGTCTGCAGTTGCTAAAAGGAGTTTGGATTAGAGTTCAGAATTAATTCTACACTCTCCTATTATTTGGCCAGAAGGGCAAAAATACTGTTTACTAAGAATAAAGAAAAGTTAATTTTCTTCAGATAGAGCACTTTAAGCAATGGAACAAATAGTATCTTTAACCTTTTACAAGATTTACAATTCATAAAGCAAATTGGTCTTGAATTTCTAAAAAAGAGAAATTGCTCTATTATCATTCCATCAAATCCAAATTTGTATTGTGTTAACACATTATAACCGTATAACAATATTATACCAATGGTAGATATCCAACCCAGTGCTGAATATAGATTAAGGGATTATTGATTCAGATCAAGTACTGGTGTATTCCTTCCAGTCATATTGTATATTAAAAGTGGGTATTTTGTACTGGCTCATGACTAAAACAAAATCATTTTTGTTGTTATTGTTGTGTAAAAAGAAAGAAGTCCTCCTTAGTGCATGCACTGAGCAATCTAGTCATGAAAGATAGAGTTTGGGAAAAAACATCAGGGGCAAGGAGGACCTCAGCAGGCCAGATGATAAGATCTTGATGGACAGTTCAGAAGTTACTATCTTAGAATGACTTCAATATGGAAGATTATAATCTGGAGAAGAGTATGACTCACCTTTTCAGTTCCAATTTCCCTGGGAGGGGTTGATGGAATATGGATGTGGATTTTGAAATATGTTCTTCAGATGAGACAATAGAGCTTGCCAGAAGTAGGGTGTTAGGGATCCGTAGCGTGGGAATGGTGGAAGTCACTCCAAGTGTAATGACTTTTTTCTTATTGTGGACATTAATTGGGTTACCTTCCTTATCGATCTAAATCACATGATAAAGATTTATGATATTAATATTAAATTATATTTAAATATATTATAGATACATTAAAATAAATTATTATAGTCATTACATATAAAATATTTAAACCTTAAGGGTTTATATTTATTTATGCAGTTTATCTAACTCCTAATTCCAGATAGACTCTAGGCAATTTATAGAATCTATTTGAAACCCACCAACTATTATCAAATGATCCATGCTACTGAAAAAGCTTAAGATGTGAAAATGAAAGCAAACTTGTTTTGATACATGCGTGATAGCACAAGGGAGATTGTTAAAAACATATTAAGGTGGGGTGATAACCAGATAATAGAAGTAAAAAAAGAAGAAGATGATGGCTTGTACACAGTGGGAAGAAGACTGGTTCTCAAACAATGCCAATTTTAACAATACTGGTATATATAGATATATAGAATTTTTTTTATTAAAGCAGTTTTTTACACAGAATAAGAACAGTACAAAATTTTAAATTAAAAATAAGACAAATGAGAAAAGTAATGAAAAGTGAACAAGAAATGAAAAAGAAATAGAAAAGTGAAAAATGAATTTTGAAAAAGAAAATTATAATAAAAATATATTGAAAAAAAAACCTTAATGGTTCAAGTCCTAACCAAGCACCTAAGAGCTCTTAAGGTAACGTCTGATTATATAGGCAGTTCCAAGTAAGGTGTTTTTTTTGCAAAGTCAGAATATTCAGGTCTGATAAGTTCAAAATTTCCATATATGTAGACAACCCTTTGGGTATTGCTTCAAGGGCTCTTATTACTATTAATACAACCATTGATTTCTTCGTCCACAATAGCTCAACTTCAATTTGCAGACTGCAGTATTTCATTATTTTTTCTAGATGTTTCTCTTCAATTCATGCATTACCTGGTATTGAAATATCAATGAACCAAACTTTTTTCTTTTCCACAATAGTGATGTCAGGCATGTTGTGGGCCAGATGTCTGTCTGTTTGGATCCGAAAGTCCCACAGGATCTCGACCTGTTCATTTTCAAGAACTTTGTCAATTTGGCTCCTAGTAATTTTTGCTGCATTTAAATTATTGTTGTTATTATTGTTGTTATTGTTATTAATCATCACACAGTTAACAAGATATTCAGACTGGATTTGGCATATTTGTCTATCTATCAAATCCTTACCAAGGAGCTGGGATAGGCAGATCTGGATGTTAGATGGTATCACAGATATCATTGCAGGATGGAAGCTGTTCCCAGTAAAGCCGCCTTTTGCAATTGACTGATGGCGAATTTGTCAATACTAATGGTATTCAAGTGGTGCTCCAGTTGTTTTGGGATTGCACCCAAGATGCCTATTACTATTGGCACTATCCTTGCTTGCCTTTGCCACAATTGTTCTATTTCTGTTTGTAGGTCTTCGTATTTTATTATCTTCTCCAGTTCTTTCTCTTCTATTCTGCTGTCTCCAGGCACTGCCATATCCACTATCCAGACCTTTTTGTCTTTCTTATCGACAATTGTTAAATCTGGGGTGTTATGTGGCAGGTCCCTGTCTGTTTGAATTCTAAAGTCCCAGAGCAATTTAACTTCCTCATTTTCTATGACTTTTTCTTTTTTATGGTCCCACCAATTTCTTCTTGCAGGCAGATGATATTTCTTGCAGTGCACCATCATTGTTGTTGTTGTTATTATATAAAAACATATCTTGTGGGGGGGACTGTTTGATATTATTATTATCTTTTAAGATTTAATCTTCAATTGGCTGAGCAACCAGGGCCATCAGCTGCAGAACTACTGGAAGAAAAGGTGTGTATTCATCACAAATGTACAGTGATTGACAAGAAATAATGATATGTTATTACAGATCGTCTGACAAAGATATTTGAAATGAATGCAACAGTTTTGAGAAGAACAACGTCCAGAATCAGAAATAACAGAACAGTGGCTGGCAGATCAATGTCGATTTATAATATGAAATAAAGTATTCACAGAAGCAGGATTGAAAGAACTGTGAAAGTTTACCCAGGGCAAAAAAATCAAAGCCTTGCCAGAAGTAACTCAGAATGTAAAGGCAAATTATAGGAAGTTGGCAGCAGAGGAATCAGTAAAGATTTACAATTGTTTTCATTTGGAAACCAGGCACACTCTCCTCTGCCACAGGAAGAACAGAGCCCTTTAATTAAAGAAGTAAAAGAATTGAAACTATAGAACAGGGTTGCCAAACCCGCTCACTTTGTGGGCCTTATCGTGATGTACTGCAATGTTTATTGCCTTTGTGATTTGGGTGGGTGTGGCTGCCAGTTTGACAGGCTTGCCATAAAATAACTGAGCATCTAGAACAGAACAAAAACATCAGAATAAGGCTGCCTGCATTGTTCCAAAGAAACAGCTAGCATAAGCATTAAAAGAGGCAAATACTGCAATATCAAGTATAAGCACCAATTCACTGCAAGAAACAAACCAAGTAATGTACAGCACAGCTGCAGTTATAACTGAGTACCTAGGATGCAAAATCAACAAAGAAGAAAAAAAAATCAAACATTGCACCACAAAACTGGAAGAGTAGACTGGAAAATAAGATCAGCAAGTTGAGATCAGATGCAAGAACAGATGAAAGAAAAGAAGCTGAAGAACAAGAAGACCAAAGAATAACTAATCAAGAAATATCACTTAGAAACACAGAAGATCAAGGAAAATAATAAAGCAGCAAATAACAGCTATAGCCAAAAAGATCAGCAGATAACAAAGCTCAAATTGCAAATTATAGGCAGACCCTCCAATTTTAATCCATTCAGAAATGTTTCCACCAATCCAATGGATTGTAGAAACTGCAATGGAGAATGGAGAAACTGCAGTGAATCAATCAGTACCTGACAAGAAAGAAATAGTCCAGTTCTGGGTGCAGATATGGGATAACCCAAAGAAATATAACAGAATATTGCAATCGAGTTTGGATTGGACAAATGTGCCACACTTATTACCAAACAAGGAAAAATAGTGAAAACTGAAGGAATCAAGATGCCCCACAAAAATAAGAGTCTGGATGAAGATGATTACTACAAATACCTGGGTATCCTTCAAGCTAACAACATCAAGCGCACTGAAGTTCAAGAAAAAGATTAGAGCTGAATACATCAAAAGAGTGAAAAAGATTTTAAACTCCAAACTCAGTAGAGGAAATATCATCAACATCTGGGCAATTCCAGTCATTAGATACACAGTTGGAATAGTGGACTGGACTCAAGCAGAATTAAAAGCAATGGACAGGAAGACCAGAAAAGTAATGACTATGAATCATGCCCTTCATCCTCGCAGTGACATTGACAGACTCCACCTACCAAGGCAAATAAGTGGGTGTGGAGTGTTGCATGTACATCAGATGGTTGAAGAAGAAAAAGTGGCTTTAAAAGAATATCTGAAGGAATCTCTGAATATCTGAAGAAGATGCACTGAAGTCAATAAACCAGGAAGGCTTATTGACTACTGGAGAGACCAAACTGATCTACAAGTAAGACCAAATGAAGAACAGAATGGAAACATGGGAAGACAAAGTACTACATGGCCAGTATATTAAAACAAAAACAAAAAAACAGCAGGAAAAGACCTGGCAATGAATAAGCAGAAAAGTTGAAGAAAGAGACCAAGAGACTAATTCTGGTTGCACAAGACCAAGCCTTAAGGACAAGTTCATACAAAACCAGAATTGAGAAGACAGCAACAGACATAAGTGCTGCTTATGCAAAGAAGCTGCAGAAACACTGAACCACCTGCTAAGCTGCTCTAAGAAGATCGTACAGACTGACTACAAGCAGTGGCATGACAAAGTAGCAACCATGGTGCATTGGAAGAGCTGCAAGAAATACCATCTGCCTGCAAGAAGAAATTGGTGGGACCATAAAAAAGAAAAAGTCATAGAAAATGAGGAAGTTAAATTGCTCTGGGGCTTTAGAATTTAAACAGAAGGGACCTGCCACATAACACCCCAGATTTAACAATTGTCAATAAGAAAGATAAAAAAGTCTGGATAGTGGATGTGGCAGTGCCTGGAGACAGCAGAATACTGGAGAAGATAAAGAACTGGAGAAGATAAGAAAATACAAAGACCTACAAATAGAAATAGAACGACTGTGGCAAAGGCAAACAAGAGTAGTATCAATAGTAATAGGTGCCTTGGCTGCAATTCCAAAACAACTGGAACATCACTTGAACTCTGTTGGCATTGGCAAATTCGCCATCAGTCAATTGCAAAAGGTGGCTTTATTGGTAACAGCTTCCATCCTGTGATGATACCTATAACACCATCAAACATCCAAATCTGCCTATCCCAGCTCCTTGATAAGAGGTAGAAAAAAATGCCAAACCTAATCTGAACATCTGGCTGACTGTGCAATGATCAATAACAATAATAACAATAATAATAACCACCCTACTTGGAACTAATACTCAGATGTTAACTTAGCAGCTCTTAGGTCCTTGGTTAGGACTTGTTAGGAGCTGTTAAGTTTTTACCAGTTCCAGACTGTGAATTGAATTGATGATTAACAACAACAATCACCACCACAACAACAAAAAACAGAACTAAGTAGGAAGAGGCTCACTTTGTACTTAATGACGGCCAACTTCCTTCTATCTATGCCTCAAAAAGCTGCCTATCCTTGTTTATTTAAACTATATATTTCATAATTCATACCAATATTCATTTTTCAAACACAGCTTCAATAGAATCAAGGTACACTTCATTTTGTCGGATCCAATCCCATGAAAAGATGGTAATGGTGGTGGAAAATATGTTATATATGAAAACCTCATCTGACTTTGGACTGAAACCAGACTTAATTATACTTAGATTATTAATACATTTCATTGATTGCAATAACTTTGTTCTTAGCTGACAAATAATGCATTCAACTTTCGGATTTTAACTCCCAAGATGAGCTCATTGGAAATGAAAAATGGAAATATTTACAAGTGACTGGAAGGACCTACAGTATATGGAACTAAATGACCAGTGGATCACATTTTGTTTGATGGTTTCCAAATTGAATTGGTTTGCAATAATCACAAGCAATTAATTTCTCTTTATCTGGGATAAAAGATAAAGTATAACTTTCAAGCAGGATTATGCTTTAAGAGCCATTCCTTGTTAGAAATTAAATTATTTCCCTAACCTTTGACTCATTTCACCTCCTTTTCCCAAGCTCTCTATGAGAGAGAAAGTACTTACCTGGAAGAAATCACTTTCAAACATGGGGGAACACTGAAACATCTCATATTCCCCCTGCCGTAATAAGCATTCGAGTGTCTCCATTCTTCTGTAGAAAAAGCTCTTTGCGCAGGTTGTTTCAGGCCCAACACCTCAAAGCTCTTAGAGCTGTAAGGAAAAAATGCCATTCAGAAATGTGGCTAATCTGGAATCCAGATATGAATATTTACTTGCAAAACCTGATATTAATTTAAGGCAATAAAAATTTAAGTTATATGTGAAACACTTTGAAGTGCAAATGAAAATCACTTTTCCAAATTTCTTTTGAGTTCAAATTGGAATATTTTGCATATCTTGGAATCCTTGGAACATTTCCCATTTGAATTTTAAAACTTTTTCATCAATGACATAGGTATTGAAGTACATACATTATAATTTGAAAGTATCATTTTACCTATTATTTAATTATAATCATAATGTTTTTAATGCAGAAAACTTAAATTTGCCATGAAAAAACTTCCTTTCCATAACACTATTGAGAATTCTTCACTTAATAAGTTAAAAAAGCAACAATTCTTTGTAGGGATGCTAATTGTTTATGCAGTAGAGTTGGAATTGTTTATTTCATGCATTTGTATTTTCCCTCAGGGGAAAAAAATAAACAGAGCCATTCAGAACAGTAAATTTGGATCTGCACTGCAGGATCATCCCAGGATGCTTTAGATTTGCTGCTCTAGGGAGCAAAAGATACTTTCCCTCCTGCTGCGGTCATTTCATGATATTCCCAGATCAGTCTGAAGCTGGTTTTTTATTGTACTAGTATTGTTGACATATATATGAAGGACAGTGTCCAGATTTTCTTGTTAAAGGAGATTGTAACATAAGAAACACCTTCTATCAAATAAATTACTTGGTACTCAGGTAACTGTCCATTGTTAAGCAGCCATTTCATTTGAAAAATACATGAAATAAAATAGGTCCTTCTTAGTCATGTTTAGTATACTAAGGCCCTCAGCTTCATACTTTCTTTCTTTTCAGCAGGGTTGGGTTCACTTCGTGAGATTCTCAGGAGATCTGATTTCCACATTCTCCCATTAAGAATTGCTTATAAATCTCTGAAGTGAGTAAGTGGCTTTGCAACTACCACAGTAGCCCGATGTCACTTTTAGAGTATAGGAAAAGGAGACCTTGGATAATGGGATTTGTCTAGCAGTGGCCCCCTAAGAAGTCAGAGGAATCTATCAATCACTTTCCTTAACTTGTTCACATTAAGTTGTAAGGACATCATATTTTTCTGCCTCATTGTTGAGGCATAAGAGAACTTGGGCATCGGGACAATAAAATTTATGCCAGCCTAGTTTTCTGCTAACCCAAGGACTGGTGTGTTACAATTTAATGTGATTCTCTAGCTGTGTTTTGTACTGAGTTTTTCCTGAAATCATTCTGTCAGGGTTCCAAGTAACACCCCCAACGAAAGAAGACTCCGAGGCTTGAAGTTCCTCAAAGTTCCATTTTATTAGAGATGTCATATTGGCACATCTGGGAAAACCTGAATCTGAAAGCTTCCAGGTTTTCCCCACCTAAAGGAAAGTCCAAGTCCCTGCCCAGCACCCACATGTCCATCACATGGTCCAATCAAAACACCATCCCTACTGGAAATACCTCCCAGTTCCAGCCCTCCAGGTGCAGGGCAAGATGTCCTTGACTCTCTGAGAAAGGAATATTATTATGACTATGTATCACTCATGCTCCATACAATCCCCCCTCCCAATTTACCACAGTAGTAAATGTGGCAGGCCTGAAGGCCCAGTGCAAAAGATGGCTTCCAGGCCTGACACATTCTTAGCTTCATGTTTAGGAATCACTGCCTCTTTCTCCAAATAGCTACAATTCCCTAAAGATGGATGTTGTCTATAGTATGTCTTTTTAATGTACTAGTTTACTTGATACATTTTATGATTGAGCAAAAATTTGTATATACTGTAGGTATTCCATGTGAGAAAGGCAAGCTTTTTAATAGTTGAGATATATTTATATATATGTGCTAAGGTCAAACATTAAAAGATCTTTTGTAGTATTAAATTGATGTATGTGATTTTAGCAACCTGAAATTTTGAAAGAAATTTTCATTTCAGTAGCTTCTGCCTGCTGCTGTCTGAACATCTCTGTTTTGGACCAAGGATCATCAGATTAAATGTTTAAATCTCTTTTTATTGTCCAGACTTGAGTTTAAATCATCAATGATTATTAATCAATGATTAATATTAAATGAAAAAAATAAACTTTAATCAAACACAGGTGTGCTGCATGAATATACAAAGTACCTTTTGTTCATACCTGAATTACCACAGTCAGCTCCCCCCAAGGTGGGGTTAGAAGGTTCAGCTTCCAAATAGACATAGTATTCTAAGCAGCTTTTAGTCACTGCATGTTTTCTGTTTCGAATCTCTTGTTCTCTTGTTCTTAATGTTGAGAACCTACACTTACCTGTGCTCTCTCAATTTATGGTGTGTTGCCTTATCAGCTGCTGACACTCAGAGGCCCTGGTTCATTGCCCCCCTACTTTGTCACACAGAAGCTGTTTTGTGACATCACTAATATCTTTTTATCATTTTAGTTAGGCATTTTTTCCTGGCTTGCAAGTAAGGAATTAGGACATAGAGACATTATGAACAAATAGAGAATTTAATTTAGTTTATTGCAGTTTTTCTGTCCAGAAAAATATAATGACAAAGTTCAAAATTGAGCAATAATGATTTAATATGTGATTAAAATTTTAGATTTCAGTGTATAGATTTCATTCTTAGAAATCACTCAGATGTGGGACTTTAGGGACTATGGGCTTGAGCGTACTTTATAATAAGACTGGTGCCTTCTGGATTGCCTTATCTAGGGAGACAATATAGATTCTACTCCTGACTTACCTTTAATAGATTATCTATACATCATCTATATAAAAAATGTTACCAAAGCCTGTTTGATCAACATTGCTGTATGCCACAAGGCAGTCTACACGTAGTCCTCAACTTACAATAATTCATTTAGAGAGCATTTGAAATTACAACGGGGCTGAAAAAAGTGACTTACGCCCGTTTTTCACACTTACAACTGTTGCAGCATCCCCATGGTCACGTGATCAAAATTCAGACACTTAGCAACTGACTCATATGTATGATTGTTGCACTATCCCGGAATTACATTGATCCCTTTTGTGACTTTCTGACAAGAAAAACCAATGGGGAAACCAGATTCACTTAACAACTCTGTGATAACTTAACAACTGCAGTGATTCACTTAACAAGTGTGGCAAGAAAAGTTTGTAAAATGGGACAAAATTCACTTAGCAACTTTCTCGCTTAGCAACAGAAATTTTGGGTTCAATTGTGGTTTGTAAGTTGTGGAGTACCTATAGCCTAATTTTCCCCTTTTTAATTTATTTATCCATTCATTTACTGTGGTATATATGCTATTCCACAGAACTCCTATGGCCCCTGCAGACAAAATTGTAAAATGATGATTGCATAAAAATATTATGCTAAGTTATTCCTGTTTTTCATCCAGCAGCCATCGTTTAGAACTCTTAGAAACTTCATCACAATTTAGTTTATGCAAAGTGAATAAAAAGATTATGTGCAAACATCATAAAATTATACAGCATTAGATTTGTTACATAAGACTTTTCAATACTTCAATATTTAATATCTTTTTTTTTTCAATTCTTTAGCTACCCAACTCAAACAAGTGACCCTGGGCAGTGAACAGTCATAAAACAATTAGAAACAATTGTGATACGGTACAAAACTAAATATATATGGCAGCCAACAAAAATTATTTAGATATCAATATAGCCAGGAAACAGGTTCTTCATGCACTTGGGATCCCAGACCCAGGCATAAAACCAGATATTTAAGAGCTTGCAAAAGGCCAACAGGATCAGGGCCATCTTCAGTTCTGAAGCGGGAATGTCCACAGGACAGGGGTTACGGGAGAGAAGCCACTTCTCCTAGTCCCTGCCAGCCAATATTCCTTGTAACTTGAATATACTCTATGTATAACTTTAAAAAACTGCAAATACAAGTAGTAATGCGCTTTTCACTAGTATAAATCATATAAGTACAATAAGGAATTACAATATCTTCTGTTCAAACTCTGGAAGATCCGTTATTTAACAGATCATAGAAATATTAGCATAATTAAGACTTTATGTTAATAGAAACATAGATTTTGAGTGTGGTACAAGCCCTTATCTAGAAATATAATCCAAACATGGTTTTCAGATTGAATTAAAGTCTGTGCCAGATTAAATATGAAGTTATTTTGGATTAAGGCTGGGATTCCCAATCCTCAGGCTTTTGCACATTTGGAACTGGGCCACAGAAGCGGTAGGTGAGCGTGCGCATGCAGCTCCACTTGTGAGAGTAGCCAGCGTGCACACGCTTGTGCAGCTTCATTTGTATAAGAGGCAGGCATGCGGGCCCACTGCTTGCGCAAATGGAGCTGTGTGCTCACCCGCCGCTTAATTGGAACCATCCCCTCTATCCCCCCATCAGTCCGCAAAGCCAGAAACATTGGAAACCCCTGGATTAAGGCATACTCCCATAACCTTAATTAGCCATTCATCTGCAAAGAAATTATGCATACTTTCCAGTAAGAAGCATAAAATGTACTTGTGGCAGTAAACCACATATAAAATGCATTTGGCACATATGTTATATTTTCTTTAGCCATATTTAATTAAGAAATAAGATGGAAAGGAAATTCAGCTCTTAGAATTTATTTGTTTATACATCATTTTCCCAAATTGTTGGGCTTTTCAAATTTGTCACAGTATATGAAAAAACAATGGAAGCTGATAGTTCCATTTTCAGTTTTAATTTTAGTAATCAAAACTAAATATATCAGCTGAAAAATATAATACTTTTCTGTAAGTATAATATTTAGTATAAATTTAATGTTTTCTTCCTTTGAAAGTCTCACTGTTGCATATCAATTATTGTGTTTAAATTCTATTTATTAAATTATAAATTCTATTGTATTAAGTTCTATAAATAAAAGTAAAATAAATAGTTCTTTACTGTTTTCTGTTATTGGGTAGTTCACCAACAGCTTATAAGTTTCAGTAAATGTTCCAAATTTTGTGTTATAAGATTTTCAGATTTAGTCAAATCTCTTAAGTGGTCCCGTTTTTTTTATTAATTCTTTGGAAAGTGTTGGAACCAAATAGTTATGACTAGCCTGAAGAGAAAATAATATCTTCATTTTGTCAGTAATTAAATATTTCAAAGTTTATCGTCTTTTCACTGAGTGAATGTCTTTCCTCATTATGAAAATAAATACTTAGTCGTGAGGTTAAATGTTTTAAGTCTCTATTTTTCCTCCCTGTATTTATTCCAAATAATCAATGGGCTGCTTATTGTATAATCTCATATGAACTGTCTGCTTTTGTCTGTATCAATTCTCAGTTATTTGGGCAAATTATTTGGGAGATCTGCTTTCTCAGTAAAAATAAATTAACAATAAAGTGATATAATCCAATTTGTAATTTTGATTAAATAATATAATTTGAAATTCAGAACTATCAGGCCACTTTATTCTTTAACTGTCTGCTAATTGTTTCTGCCAATCACATATTTTATATTTTGATTGGAATCATTTGAAAGAAAATATTTAAAGAAGTCTTTATTATTATTCAGATTGTTGGCGGAATTACAATAAGTGCAATGAGAATTGCATATACCGTATTTTTTGCACTATAAGATGCTCTGGATCATAAGGCGCACCTAACTTTAGGAAAACAAGAAAAAAATATCTGTCTCTGCCTCCCAGTATCCATCGATATTTAGCTGGCTAGGTCAGCTTCAGCATGTTACTGCAGCCTGATTTAGCACAAGCAGCTGATTGGCAGTTGGACGCGCCTCCCGGAATATTGCCAATCAGCTGTTCCAGGCTGTGGGGATCGCTGCTGCCTATCATCACCTCTGCGTGTCCCATTTTTGTCTTCCACACACCCCATTTTTGGCCTCAGCACACCCCATTTTTGGCCTCAGCACATCTCATTTTCAGCCCATTCCAGCTAGCGGGGATTGCTACCGCCGAACGCTGCTGCTACCGAACTCTACCTATCGCTGGAGTTGAATGGTGGTGGCAATCGGTGGTAGCAGTGGCAATCTCCATCTGGAACAGGCCGAAAACGGGACGTGCGGAGGCTGAAAATGGGGCACGCAGAGGCTGGAAATGGTGCATGCGGGGACTGGAAACAGGGCACGCAATGTCCGGAAATGGCTGAAGGGTGAGGGCTGGCAGGTGGCTGGGGCTTCAGCAACATTCGCTCTATAAGACATTTTCACCCACTTTCGGGGGGGGGAGTGCATCTTATAGACTGAAAAATATGGTAGTTTTATGTTCTTAATTTGCTAATTTAATTCCTGAAATTTTGTGAATTATTGTTTTCTTTACACATCTTCTTTGCCAATGACTACTGATAAGAATAAAAAAAGAGAAGGAGGACAACCTTCATTATGATATATTTTTGTAATAACCCCCCCACACACACTTTTACAATCATCGTGGCTTTTTGTTCTTTATAAATACTCTGTATCCATGTGAAAAAAAATTGAAGTATAATTCATTTTCTTCAGAATCGTAAGAATGAAGTATCAATTCCAAATTATCAAAAGTTTTCTTCACATTAAGTAAAATTATTGTTGCCTTCTTGTTTGTTACTAACATTCAAGATATTTCTAATGGAGTATGTCATGCATCTCTTTGGAACAATTCCAGTCTGACCAGGATGTACCAATTCAATTAAAATATTATTTCTTCTTTTTGCAAGCATTGCTGTAAAAAATTCTACATTTAATAGGAAAATAGGTCTGTATGATGGATTGAGTTGTTCCTCTCTTTGTAGATGAGAGGAATGAAATGTTTTTTCCTTTATCTTATTGCTATATCTAATATATTGCCTGGATTACTAATTGTCAAAATGTATTGACAATTCCTGTGGTATATTGTAGAGATGCCATCAGGTTCCAAAGCTTTGTTCAGTTTCAGTTTTTGTATTGTTCAGTTTCATCTTCTGTTGTACAATTAGATTTGTTGTGTTAGTCTGTTAATTTCATGCTTCAATCTTTTCAGATGTCTAATTTAATTCTAATTATTTTAGAATTATGTTTAGCATTGATTATTGGATGAAATTAAATGTAAATATTTTATTAAGTTTGTTTTCAATAATTTACAGTACAGTATTCTTATCCATTTATTTATTGTAAATAATGTTGTTTCTTATTTTTTCAATGTTTTAATTTATTTTATTCTAATTATGTTAAAAGTATGCTCAACTTTGATTATGGATTATAACACAGTGTAACTATTTATAAGCTATTTATATTAGGTTTCCATGGACACTTTCTTCAAAGTTTCTGCACCATCTGATTTTTTTTAAATTTTTTGTAAATATGATATATAAGTAAACAAACAAACAAACAAACCTCTAAATGTTATTAAAAAATAGAAAGGGGATGGCTTTACTGTTCTTTTTGAAATGTTCCTACTTGCCTTTTCTCCATAACAATCTTTTTTGAGAGACCCCTGCAATATCCTTTAAAAGTTTCTTGTGCCTGCAAAGATTGGCAGTCTTTCACTTTAAAGAAACAATATAATGCCAGTGCTCACCTGAAAAAGAAATAATATTTGAGTACTATCTAGGAAAACTCCCAAAATTAGAACAAAGAATTCTTCCCTTTCAAAATCTACTTGTCTTGTTGTTGAAATTTCAATAGATGTTGATACGATCAAAGTCAGAGCAAGACCAGATTTGGATTTACAGCATAGCTCCATTTTGTCCCATTCACTAGCCTTTTATTAAAGGTGAAAGGATTAAACTTAAGCTCCTCTGTCAATATTAATATTCCAGTCCCCTGTTCATTCTTAATTGCCCTTTTATATTTCTTGTTTGGAGTATTTTATTCAGAACCACATAGCATCTACCAGCTGTTGATCCCACTATAGACTTATAAGCTATTAGTGATACATGTCTATCTCACCACAATCAAAAAAGTCAAGGCGATTGATAAGTATGCATACATATCTCCACTTTTATTTTCTGATTTCAGTTTCAGAGAAGAGGCGAATGAGGGTGGAGGAGGGATGAAGATCAGCTTGATGAATATAAAAGGCCTTCTCTAAAATTGCACAAAGTGTGTGAGATCATTGATTAAATAACTTATCTCTAAATAAATGTTTGACAGTTGCAGGCAGCAGTCAAAAATGACATATTTATCCAAGCCAGATATGGCTAATAGGCTGAGCTCAGTTTAATGGACCACACCTTATGCAAGTTTGGTCAACTTTTCAATCTTTAAACATGCAGTTGGCAGTGATTGAACTGTGAGGTGTGAAACAAAATATTATCCATGCATTTTTTTTAATCCAGCAAATCAAGGCAGCATATTAGTGCTCTCTCCTCCCATTTTCCCCCACAATAATCCTGTTAACTGGCCCAAAGTAAACTTTCATATCTGAAGGTGGAAAAAATTTGAGTATCTTTGATACCAGTCTGACACTAACTTTCTGGCAAGTGTACCTTCATAGTTGTTGTAGTTATTAAAAACAACTTAGTACCTCTTAGTACATTTTATTTAAGCAAACTCCTCCAGTCTCATTGGGATATTCAAACAAAGTGTATACTGGACTAAGCCTAGATCATTTGATTGATTTGTGAATTCATATGGTTTGCTGCTGAAATAGTTGTGGTAACCAGTAGTGGATTTTTGTGCTGAACAATTAGGTTTCTGGAACTCAGAACAAATTCTTGCAAGTAAAGTTCTTTAACTCTAAACATATGCAGTTCTGGTGGAAACAAAAGAATAAAATAGGTTTCAGAAGCCTACAGTCTGCCTCATATCCTGCTTTCTATTTTTTTTGTTATATTTTTTTCAGGCAAATAAGGTTGAAAAAGCTGTATCAGCTGCCCACACATTCCTACAGAAGAATCCCAAGCATGAGTTGACCCAAAAGTACCTCAATTATTACAAAACTATGGTAGATGTAGATGAGTATCTTATAGACTTGGAAGCACAACCATATGAGGTACGTATTTGGAATATTATGGAGAGGAAAATTTATCCCCAAGATGGGGCTACAATTTAAAGCTTTAAAGAGTTGCTAGTACAATTTGCTCTATAGCTAAGGTCTGCAGGTCTCTTTGTAGTAAATGTCTGTCTGTCTTTCTGTCTGTCTGTCTGTCTATCTTGTTTTAGACTGTCATAGTCAAATAACTAACAAATTATTAAATATCCATGATATAATAACATAATGGTATCTGGAAGACCTTGCTTTTAATCTGCTACCAGAAAATCAGCCGGTAAGTGTAATATCCATTGGAAGATTTTTTTACAAAATGGAAACACAGAAGTATCTCCTAGCTTCAGCCCACCTAATTTCACAATAGTGGAGAACTACTAAAGAAAATTCCTGAATTGTTGTATTGAATGATTTGTTTTGATTGAAGGAGATGGCCCTGAAAATACTTTGATGCCAAACCTTATAGGCCTTGATAATCTAAGAACAACACTTTAGACTGGGAAGAAAGCTTCTGGCAACCAACACAGACCCATAGCCCAGGTGTAATATGCTTATAGTGCCTAGCTCTAAATTAGCATGTGGATCACTATATTTTGGTATAGTTTCTGTGTGGTCTTCAAAGACAAACCTTTGTAGTCCACACTTCAGTAGTCCAACCAGGTAATGAGAGGTTAAAATTGTGATGCCCAGCCATTTCAGGTAGGTCAGTAAAATGCCTTGCAGCTATGGCCTATACCTATCTATTTAGTTGTGGGAAGGACCCTCAAATCATGGACATGCTCCAGGAATAATACCATCCCTTCATGCAATATCATCAGAGCTAGCAGAGAACATCAGTGAAGAAATAGTAATTGCACTTGCTTAGATTTAATTTCAGCTCGTTCCTACCTATCCATATCTTCTGATACTGGAATAAGATTCCAGCTGTATTGTCAGAGTGGACCAGAATGATGATACCTCACCTAAACTAACCAATCTCAACTATTTCATATACGCATTAAAAAGTAGTGGGGAGAGGATCAAGCTTTACATGGACTCCACATGTAAGCCAGATGAGACCAACTTCTCTTCTGCAACCATCAACTACTGTAGAACTGGCTAAAGGAAGGACTGAAACAATTCAAACATAATTTAATAAATAATACACCGCTTTCGGTATGACCTAAGCGTAGCTCATAAAATTATCTGCTACAATGTTCTACCTGTCAATGACTACTTCAGCTCCAACCACAACAATACACAAGCACACAATAGATACAAATTTAAGGTAAACCGCACCAAACTCAATTGCAGAAAATATGACTTCAGCAACAGAGTGGTCAATGCCTGGAATGCACTACCTGACTCTGTGGTTTCATCCCAAACCCCCCAAAATTTTAACCTAAGTGTCTACTGTTGACCTCAACCCATTCTTAAGAGGTCTGTAAGGGATGTGCATAAGAGCACCAGCGTGCCTACCGTCCCTGTCCTAATGTTTCCTCTGTTTGTATCTATTTTATGTATCTAATCCATGCTTATACTTATTACCTAATACGTTCTTGAAAAATAAATAAAATAATGCCTCCAATCCTCACAGATAGTTTAGAAGGATTTCATGGTTGATAGTATCAAAGGCAGCCAAGAAATCTAATACGAGCCCACTTCCCAATAAGGCCATCAACCAACATCAAAAAAACAGTTTCTTTCTTATGCCCAGTTCTGAACCCCAACTGTATAAGGGCTGGAGAATCTGCTTCTTCAGTATATACAGTTCTCTGAAGCTTTTTGGAATCCAAAACGAAGGTTGTATCAATCACCAAACAAAATAAATAAAAATCTGGTAAAGATAAGCCCAATGAGTTTTGATATTGGAGGATTACACTTTAATGCTCTTTCTTGTATGTTTTTTCCCTCTGCTAACATGTATGAAAAAAGTCATTTTAGAAATCTTTGTTTGCTAAATTGATGTCTTCCACTCTATATCAGCCTTCCTCAACTTGATGTCCTCCAGAAGAGTTGCATTTGCAACTCCTGTTGTGGAAGTTGCAGTCACAATAAACACAAGGTAGCAAGTTGAGGAACGTTGCTCTAAATATTCAGGGATGAATTAACTACATGTCATAGTGCTAATGATCAGTGGGAGGGAGTAACCAGTCCATTACTGGCTTTCCTTCAGATTTTTCTGAGGTCTCCTGATTGTCCACATGGCCCATGAAGCAACTAGCCTGCCAGCATATTTTTTAAATTAATAAATTGACTTTCTTAAGTCAATTTAAGAAATGCAGGAATTAGAAAGGGGGAAATTGTTAATTTAAAGTTAAGAAGATTAAAGACCTAAATAAAAACAAATTACACTCACCCTGTTAATTTCTATTTATTCTTTGCAGACGGTTTTTGTCAGAGCAGTGAAGCTTTACAATAGTGGAGATTTTAGGAGTAGCATTGCTGACATGGAGCATGCATTGTCCAAATACTATGAGGCCTATGAAAATTGCCTAGCTGGCTGCGAGGGTAGCTATGAGGTCTCTGAATTTAAGGATTTCTATCCAGCCATAGCAGGTAAGGGCACCAGGGAGATATCAGCGATCATACATAGGGTATGCTGATCCGTTGTCCATTTTCTTGCTGGTGTAAAGTTCAAAATGTCAATTATGCAACATGTATAAAATTATTTCTCCTATTTTTAATTGGTTTTGGGTGGAGCAAGGATTGTCACAGGTGCAGGATTTAGTAGGGTATTATTTCACATAGTAAAAGAGATATTCTAGGATTACTTCAAGTAGTACAGCACTATAAGTTCATTTGGATAAAGAGCTGTTCTGATACAGTGACATGCATTTTAAAATTCTGCATTGTTTGTTTTGATCTTTGTAATCATATCTGCAAAATATCCAATACCATCTTATCCCACCTCACCTGTTGGTTTTTCAAAGAAGTACTTCTGAAATACTAACTCTCATTTACCTAACCCTAGCACCTCTTTCTGTAAATAAATTCAGCCCTGTGTTCACTTCCAAAACAAGAGCCCTCATCAACTGTGTAAAAGAAAACAGCCAGTTGCATTGACTGATGGAAAATGGAATAACCTCATAATGCCAATAAATTGTGTGCAAATGCAATCTTGCCTTGTAAAATAAAGTCAGCGTGTTAATAGGTATAAATAATATAAAAAGAAAGAAAGTGGTTGCTTAGACCATCTAGGTGAAATGAAAACATTAGGAAAGGTAAAGTAAAGCCAAATTCAAAAATATATTAAAATTTGGAAATACTGGAAGTAAGCGTAGAGAGACACCGCCAAAGCTGTTGGCAAAGCTAATAAGAAATTACAGCTGCTTGTATATGGAAGCCTTATTGAATATGCTGATCACTGAATCGACGTAAATATGAGTGGAGTTGGGTTGCAAAGCTGTTTCTCTAAGTGATGATGGATTAGTGACTTACCTTTTAAAAAATTATTTTCTTTATTTCTTTCTATCTATCTTCCCAGATCGTTTTGTTTTTGTCCTGCAATGTAAAGTAGATTGTGAAGTTGACCTGACCCCAAATGTTGGTGGCTATTTTGTGGAGAAATTTGTGGCCACGATGTATCACTATCTTCAGTTTGCCTATTACAAATGTGAGTTCTTGATTTGATTTGGGAGCCTTGATTCAAGGAGAGGGTAGTAGTGCCATCTTGTGGAGGCATTGGGTGAAAATCCACTCTTGTGATTGGAAGGGAAAGAAGGCATTTTTCCATTTTCCTCCTTTGCCTCCTATCCCCCACTAGAAGAATTTCCAATTTTATTTATTTTATTATTATTATTTTACAAATTGAACAACATAATGTTGCCTATAGCAAGAACAGAAAACCTGGTGTTTGGAAAAGTCAGATTGCTTTTCCATCTGGCCTCATCTATGCTATTTGACAACGATGCTCCAAAGTTTAAAACATGAATTTTCTAACTGTACGAAAGAGTAAGACCTGTTTTTCTTCAGCTTGTAAAAAATGGTTCTCTGAGTGAACTACAGTCTCCTTTCTAAGTTCAAAGCTCTGGATGGCCAAATAGCCCTAACCTGGAAATACAGAGACAAATCGTTTTTCTTCTCTTTCAAGAAAGTGCAGCAACTTTTCTGATTAAAATTTGATAAGGCCAGGAGAGGTTAATATTATTTTCAGGCCATATTTATAAAGACATAATGTTTTGGTGAGAGACTATTTTTTCTGAATTTTTTCTTCCCTCCCTATTTTTCATATGCTTAAGATGTGTCTCTCCTGCTAATTTGGTATATTATTCTCTGCACAGTGAATGACATTAAGAATGCAGTACAGAGTGTAGCTAGCTACATGCTCTTTGATCCTGGAGATGAAGTCATGCAACAAAACCTGGTTTACTATCGTTTCTATCGTGAACGTTGGCATCTGGAAGAGGAGGACTTCAACCCACGACTAGTACGAACAGGAACAGTGGTTGGAATAAGAATTACTATTTATTTATTTATTTATTTATTAAATTTTTATACCGCCCCCTCTCCCGAAGGACTCGGGGCGGTGAACAGTCAATTTAAAAACACACAATACAAACATTAAAATACTATAAAACGAAATTAAATTTATCTTTGGCTTCCCCAATTTAAAACCCCTTACCCATAAAATTCCCCAATTAAAAGATTTTTAACCCAGCCCGGCTTGCTGAAATAAAAAAGTCTTCAGGGCCCGGCGGAAGGTCCGGAGGTCCGGGATCAGTCGTATCCCTGGGGATGGCTCATTCCAGAGGCCGGGTGCCCCCACAGAGAAGGCTCTTCCCCGGGGGGTCGCCAGCCGACATTGCCTGACCGACGGCACCCTGAGGAGGCCCTCTCTGTGGGAGCGTATTGGCCGGTGGGAGGTTATCGGTGGCAGAAGGTGGTCTTGTAAATAACCGGGCCCTAAGCCATGGAGCGCTTTGAAGATGAGAACCAAATACCTTGAAGCGCACCCGGAAGACCACTGGAAGCCAATGCAGCTCGCGCAGGAGAGGTGTCACGTGGGAGCGCCATGTTGCCCCCATAAGTACCTGTGCGGCCGCATTCTGCATCAGTTGGAGCCTCCGAGTGTTCCTCAAGGGGAGCCCCATGTAGAGAGCGTTGCAGTAGTCCAGGCAGGAAGTGACGAGGGCATGAGTGACCGTGCATAAGGAGTCCCGATCCAGAAAGGGGCGCAACTGGCGTATCAGGCGAACCTGATAGAAAGCCCCCCTGGCCACGGCCGTCATATGCTCTTCTAAAGACAGCCGTGCATCCTGGAGGACACCCAAGCTACGCGCCCTCTCCGTGGGGGCCAATGTCTCACCCCCAATAGTCAGCGATGGCACCAGCTGACTATATCGGGACGCCGGCAGCCACAGCCACTCAGTCTTGGAGTGGTTGAGTTGGAGCTTGTTCCTCCCCATCCAGACCCGCATGGCCTCCAGGCACCGGGACATCACTTCAAGGGCATCGTTGGGGTGGCCTGGGGTGGAGATGTACTATTTTGTTTTGGAGCACTGATATATTTTGGATGCAGTGTTCTGGGACTCTTTACAGCAGTGGTCACCAACTGGTGGTCCATGAGAAAATTTTGGTGGTCCACAGAAAAATTCCACAGAATTTTTTATGTTGCACTAAATCAAGGGTCCTCAAACTACGGCCCCTGGGCTGGATATGTGCAATGAATGCTTGGGTTGCTGCAGAAAGTCTCCCCCTTTGGGTTCTTTTTGTGTGGGTCAGAGGGGAACCTCAAAAAGGTTGGGGACTCCTGCTGTACAGCATCCCAGGGACAATATGATTCTCTAGAGTCCTCTTGATTGTCAAAGACAAAACTCCAAACTCAGGGGGAAAAACTAGTATCAATCTCCCCTCCCTCCTGAACTTATAACAATTAGCATTCACATCTAGTTATTTGAGAATCTGTAAAAGTAATGCAATGGGGCTGGAGAGGATGAGAGATTGAAGCATCGGGAGTGTGCAAAAATATTGGAAGGTCACAGAAATGCTGCAGCTCACATTTTCTAGTTTCTGATATGGGGGAGAAAGGGGGCTTGATGTCTTTGTTCCTCATTGGTATAAAGCAAAGTAGATTGTCCACTATGCTTTAGAGCAGTGGTTCTCAACCTTCCTAATGCCGTGACCCTTTAATACAGTTCCTTATTTATTATTTATTTATTTATTTATTTATTTATTTATTTATTTATTTATTTATTTATTGGTTCAATTTATATGCCGCCCTTTTCCAGAGACTCAGGGTGGTTTACAATGCGTTAAGCATTGTGGTGACCCCCAATCATAAAATTATTCCTAAGACCTTCGCAAATATGTGTTTTCTGGTGGTCTTAGGCGACCCCTGTGAAAGGGTTGTTCGACCCCCAAAGGGGTCGTGACCCACAGGTTAAGAACCACTGCTTTAGAGTAACCATTTTGAATAATTTTTGTACAGTGCTGTAATTGTTTGTGGTTCTGATTGTAATAAACAAGCCCCAAGAGAAGCAAGGATATCAGAGGATGGAAGTGAGTTACTTGATTATCACTTAAGAGGGAAGAAGGTCAACAGTTTGATCTTGAAATTTAAGATAAACAGAAAAATTATACTGGAATTACAGTAACTGACAGCAAGCTTGATCTGCCAAGGCTCTCATTTTTTGTTCCATATTGATATCGCTATAGTACCCAAATGGAAACTTTGTCAGGAGGAGTGCATGTTAGATGCATTCAGTTACTTTTTCTTTCCCATGCAATGACTTCATTGCTCCTTGCGGATTTACAACTGGAAGTGCCCGAGCCCTCAAACTACATGATTTGAAGCTGCAGTAATGTCCAGAGCTATTATAACTTGGAGACGAGACAAATGTTTGCATGCTTGAGTCTAGTTGGTAGATTGTACCTTTCTTCAGCTGGCACCAACATGGGCTCCAATTGTAAGTACAAATATTGTTTATTGTCCTCTCACCTGTTCCGGCTGATTGTTTTCTCTCTGATATTCTTAGGAGGCCTTGCGTTATCATAACTGGACATCCACACAGAAGAAACTCTTAGAGTTTGCCAGGCAATATCTCCAGCCAAATGATGAGGTGAGAACTTGGGAAACAGGTGGAAATGTGATAAATTAAGAGCTAGCTTTTGTTTTCTTTAGTTCAGTTTTGCCCCATTAATTTACTTTGAGGATGGCAAGTACTAGATAAATCTGAAAGACAAAAAGGAAACATTTCATTTCAGATTTTCTCAGCTGGAAAGAAAAGATTTAGCTAAACCATCAGGATTTTAAGCTTTTACCAGGCATTAACATACCACTGTTAGAATAGAATAACAGAGTTGGTAAATGTAAGAGAAGATTTAAAGAGGAACGAAATATTCAATGTGTAATAGATATGTATATATTGTAGTGAATATAGGAATTAGTAAGTATTATATAAAATGTATGTGTATATAGTTGGTCAAAAGACAAAATAGATATTATTAAAGATGCCGGTAGCGGAAAGCTGTTAAAATGTAACAAAGATGTTAAAGATGTAAATGATGAATAAAAATTATTTTATTAAAAAAAACAGAGTTGGAAGGGACCTTGGAGGTCTTCTAGTCCAAATCCCTGCTTAGGCAGGAAATCTTATACCATTTCAGACAAATGGTTATCCAGTCTCTTCTTTAAAACTTCCAGTGTTGAAGCATTTACAACTTCTGGAGGCAAGTTGTTCCACTGATTAATTGTCCTAACTGTCAGGAAATTTCTCCTTAGTTCTAAGTTGCTTCTCTCCTTGATTAGTTTCTACCCATTGCTTCTTGTCCTACCCTCAAGTGCTTTGGAGAATAGCTTGACTCCCTCTTCTTTGTGGTAACCCTTGAGATATTGGGACACTGCTCATCCCTAGTCCTTCTTTTCATCAGACTAGACATAGCCAGTTCCTGCAACTGTTCTTTATATGTTTTAGCCTCCAGTCCCCTAATCACCTTTGTTGCTCTTCTCTGCACTCTTTCCTCTTGTTTTCAGGAATAAAGCCTAGAAAATTGTTATTTTTTATATGCATTTTTTTTATCTGCAAAAGATGGAATAGTCCAGGTTCTTGATTCCTTTGCTTCTGACTATTTCTTCTATCCTGCTTCAGGGAGAGGTGGACGAAGGGGTTGACGGGGTAAAAAATCCTGCATTGCCATCTGATGCTGAGTTTGAAGACATTGGTGACTATGAAGAGGGGTTTTTGTCTGAATGGTGGCAAGAGCCCAGATCAAAAGGAGACAAAGGTGACGAAGGTAATTGACAACAAAACTGAAGGACTGATTGTTCACCTTCCATTGCTCGTTCTTGCTTGTATCTCTTACATTGGGTTTTCATCACTATTTGCTGTTTCATTTCTCCTGCATGTCTCCTGCATTTAGTTTGCTTATACTGAAGTATATCTGTCTGACCTTTTGGCTATGGGAGCTCTGTTCAACTTTTTAAACTATGCACAGCTACCATATGATTCTCCTCTTGTCTTCTTCCTCTTTCATTACAATGTTCTGTAGTTTGCAATTGATTATTGGGAATGTTGCATGGATCCTGCAGGAGGCAGCAGTGAGCAAATGGATTCCCCCCCACTGATTTTCCTAGTGGTGGCAGGAATATCCACAAACGGTCCCTATAGAAAGGCTGTAATAATGTATTTTAATCTCCTTTGTTCACAGAGAGACTCGATTGAGCAATACGATTCCCATAACATCTGCAGGTGAAGGGGAGGCATTGTTGTTTTCTTGGGCCTACCAAAGTAGACTTGGAACTGGCAAGTTCCAAGTGAATTTTGATAGCATTCCAACATGTTCTGTGCCTTTTGAACCTCACATTAATATCTCCAAAGACTGGGAAAGTTCTACCAGCAGAACCTCGATGCAGAATATTTAAATCCACTTCCTCTCCTGCAAATGGATTGGTAAAACAAGAACAGCTCTGAGCTAAACCAGGAAACCTTCCCACTTCCCAGCGGAACCTCATTTCTAAAAAGTACTGTGAATGAGCTTGGAATAAAAATATCTCAACAAAAGGACAAAAAGAAGCCAATGCTGCATTTATTTCTAGTTTTATATATTCTGCTTTGTGACCTCATATATGTTGGGAACCAAAGTTCTTGCCCATCTATGAAAGGTAGTATGTGCATAACTGGATTTTCCATATTCAGATTTATTAAATGCCCTGTTTGCCCAAAGGCAAGACAACTCCCCTTCCCAATAATTAACTTTTAAGTGTGTGTATAGCACAGAAGTTATAATCTATCTGCGGTGTCATGGATTCTTTTAACTATACTCAATTCAGTGGGCTACAAACACAAAAGGGTCAACAACAATATAGATCTCTACACAATACACACAGACATTCATACTATTATTACTCACCATTAGTCCATTCTTCACCACTGCTGCTGCTACTACTGCTATTCCAACTCCTACTCCTTGTGAGTATTGCTAGAGAGAACTGTCTTTTTAGCTGCTTCACTTTCACAAATCACCACACGCCTACTTCCCTCTTTGCTTTTCCACATACCATCACCTACACCCAATGCCTCTCAGGACAGTTTTTATAGCCAGTGTTTCTGTATTGGCTAATGAGAGGCTTAAAGAGACAGGTTGAAAACAACATAGAAGCTGGCCATTTTCTGGGCATCTTCCTCTCACATGCAAAGAAGAGCCTTTTGTCTTATTTGTACGTGAGGTTATGGATGAATGAAACTTCTCCCTTCATATAAGCAATGGCAGTGTTATCATACCTTCCCTTCTTCTGCCTTATTGGAAGTGCTCATTTTGGGAAGGCAGGCTCTTCCTTCCTCTGCAGTTTTTATCTTCTCTTTTTCTTTCTTTTCCCTTCCCATCGTTTTCTGTTTTTCCTGTTACTGGAAAAAGGAAGGTGTAAATGTGTGTGAATGTATTTATGTGGTTCTGAATATGAGAGTGGTTTGTGTGAAAAAATAGAATGGTCATATGCATATAGGAAATTAATGTTATAATATATTATTTTACTTTACTGAAGTACTTAGCAATTTAACTGATAATTTATTTTGTAGGCAGAGCAACTTTTGATCTGTGTGTATACCCACAAGCACAGTCGCATGCTTTCACATGCAGGTGTATAGATGGAGACTGGCCGGATGGGGAAGAGAACCTTTGCAAAGAGTGTGTGTGTGTGTGTGTGTGTGTGTGTGTGTGTGTGTGTGTGTGTTTGTGTGTGTGCTTTCCCTTTTATAGCCAGGGAGCAAATCATCCTAAATTAAAGATTAACTTCCTTTTAACTAAATAAAATTCAAAGAATCAAATCTTTTCTCCGAAACTAGGAGTCAGCAGATTTTATACTAGAAACATGAAAAGTGAGCATACAGAAATATGGCTTGATGAGGAGAGCTCTGTACTTTTAGAACGGGGGGCATGTTCAGCTCAATAATTAGCTTTCAAGACGAGTTGCTTTAATGTCATTTTCGTGCAAGTTTTTACTCCTGCCCTTCACTTATCCATAAAACTTTATGTATGTCACTCATCTCACAAAACTGAGCAGTAGTTCTTTCTACTATTACATTTTTTTTTATGAGGATGAAAATACATGCAGGTCAGCTGCAAATCTTCTAACAGATCCCAGTCTTCCTTGTGTTCAACCTTGCCTTGAAGCTTTTAAAGAGTCAGACTCCCAAGAAGCTCATGTTCCGACATCTCCTCCTCCCCATGTGTCTACTGAAAACCTGCAGTTAATGGGCTAACCTTTAACTTTTCTGAAAGCAAACAGTTTCATCAATATTTTTTTTTCTTTTACATTCAAAGAGCTGCCTTTGTTTTTCAGTTAATTTAAACATTTTACTTTGTACATATTTTTTTTAATTAGTTGTAGCTATATTTTAATAAAAATCTCTCCTAGTCTGTCTGTCTGCTCTGTCTAAGTTTTTGCTGCTGTCCTCCAAATTTCTTCCTTGAGATATTGAGAAAGCATGCCTTTGTAATTCCTGAAAAAGGAACAGTTTTCTAGAAAAGTAGAGGTGCTGTTGCCTGGGAAACTCTGGGTGCTGGTCTAGTAACGTTTGGAGGATGTCAGTCTGCAGATGGACAATTATTCCTGATGAGAAAGGTGGCAAATAAACTTAGTATAGAGCCTTGGTAGTACAGTGGTCTAAGGCACCCTGTTATTAAGCTGGTTATTAAGACCAGCTGCCTGCAATTACTGCAGGTTCGAATCTCGCCAAGGCTCAAGGTTGACTCAGCCTTCCATCCTTTCTAAGGTAGGTAAATTGAGGACCCAGTTGTGGGGGCAATAAGCTGACTTTGTATAAATATACAAAAGAATGAAGGCTATTGCTGAGCACATTGTAAGCCACCCTGAGTCTCCGGAGAAGGGCGGCATATAAATCAAATAAAAAAAAAAAGTATCCAGAAACAGCAGAATAGAAGGGAAGGATCTGGAATAGATAGCAATATACAAAGATCTACAAATAGAAATAGAATGACTGTGGCAAAAGAAAGCAAAGGTTATTACCAATAGTAATAGGTGCTATGGGTGCAATCTCAGAATAATTGGAGCACCACTTGGACAACACTGGCATTGACAAATTCACCATCAGTCAATTGCAAAAGGCAGCTTTATTCAGAACAGTTTGCATCCTTCAATAATATCTGTAACACCATCAAACATCCACATCTGCTTATTCCAATTCCTTTGGAAGGACTTGATATGTGGATAAAAGTGACAAATCCAGTCTGAATATCTGATTGACTGTGCAATGAACCATAACAATTAATTGGATATGGAAACCTCAGATGCAGTATATTTGAAATATGGGGAGAAAATTATTTGGCTACCTGCCAAATTAAAATTGGTCAGTTATAATTGCCTTAATTGGTCAGTTATAATCTGCAAAATTTAGGTGGTCTCAGAATCCATCCTTAAACAAATTGATAAAAATTTAGAAAAGAAGAGAGAAAATTGCAACTGGTATTCATGCCAGTTTAATATCTTTCCTCTTTTTCTATGCATTTACCATTTTATTTGAAGAAATGTTCAGAAAAGCTTGAAAGGTTGCAATTACAAAATTATGGGTGCCATAATAAAAAGCATTATCCCAGTGGGTTTGTGATTTTGGATTTTTTTTAACTCATGATCAATGCAATTACAGTTGTTCTTTAATGTCTATGGATATTCTCAATCATCCAGATTGTGGTTGTCCCAAATTTGCTCTTTCCAAAAGGCAATTGGATTTTCTTGGTTTCTTTTTTCTATAAAAATGTTTCATTTCTCATCCAAGAAGAACTGAAGAAGCTTTTTGAATAGAAGCAAAACATTTTCTTTCTTTCTTTTTTTCATTTATTTTTATTTAACCATTTTCTTCACTTTATATCACAATTTCCATTGTTAAAATACTCCTGTACCGATATACATTCATATTATATATGCTATTATGAATACAATATGTAGTTATTATTCTGAATATTTTTTTTTTTAATATAATTTTTATTAAATTTTTTTTTATACACAAATAAAATATACTAACAATTCTGTTTAACATCGGATTCGCAGTGTTTATACATATATACATGAATAAGTGTCTGGTGTCAGTTATACTATACATTTCTAATTAATTTCTGCACCTTTTGTTTCTTCCTTAATTCTACCATTTATCCATTCGTACCATCTTCCCCACACAGTATCATAATCAGAATTTTCATCGTCATTTATCTCATGAGTTAATTTACTTATCTCTGCACACTCTAATATTTTATTAATTATAAGGTCATCTGGTGGTAGGTCTTTCTTTTTCCAGTATTGAGCATATGCTAGTCTGGCAGCTGTAGTTATGTGTATTAGGAGGTGAACCTTTTCCTTTACGTATCCTTTCTTTACCATTCCCAGGAGAAAAATTTCTGGGTTCAGATCAATGTCTTCTTTAAGTATGTCTTTCAACCATCTCCAAATTTTGCTCCAAAACCTTTTTGCTTCGGGACATGTCCACCACGTATGAAAGAAGGTGCCATGGCCATGGCCACATTTCCAACAGTTTGGCTGCGCATTGGGGAACATCTTTGCTAATCTTGCAGGTGCCAAATGCCACCTATGAAGCATTTTGTAGTGATTTTCCTTATATGTGGCTGCTCTAGTTAATTTATAATTTTTATTCCAGGCTTCTTCCCATTCATTAAAATTCAAACTGTGTCCAATATTTCTCTCCCATGCTCTCAATTGATTTCTAATTATATCCTCATCTCTGTCTTCCTCTAACAAATAGTTATACAGCTTGGCCAACGCTTTTTTCCCTGGTCCCATCAAAATTTTGTCTAATCCATTATATCCTAATTCTAGGCCATACTCTTCTTTATCTTTCTGGTATCTTGATTTTATTTGCAGGTAAGTCCACCAATCTAAAGTTATACCTTGGTCTCTCAGGGCTTCATTAGATTTAATATTTCCCCCTCCATCGACAATGTCTTTGTATCTGCACAATTTCTCCATTCCCCACCTGTTGGGGTAAATCATTGCCTCTGCCGTGGAAAGCCAGTTTGGGACTTTTGAATAGTATCTCTGCCTAATTCCCACCCACGTTTGTATTAGGGAGTCTCTAATTTTATGCCTGTGGAAATAGGTTTTCTTTTTATTGTCTTTGTCCCATAGATAGGCATGCCACCCTTTCTGTAGGTCGTGTCCTTCTAACACTAAGGTTCTCTTATTCTCCAGGGTGATCCAATCCTTTATCCATATCAGCTTTGCTGCTCTATAATACATTTCCCAATTTGGAAGTCCAAATCCTCCCACATTCCTTTTTTCTTGTAAAATTTTAAGTGAGATCCTTGATTTTTTTCCCTCCCAAACAAATTCCCTAACGGTCTTATTTAATTCTGAGAAAAAATTTTTCTTTAAAATTACTGGTAAATTTTGATATAAAAATAAGATCTTGGGGAGGATGCTCATCTTAATTGCCGCAATTTTGCCAATAAGTGATAATTTGATCTTTTTCCATCTGTCCAGATCTTGTTTTAATTTATTAATTAATGGAGTATAATTGTCTTCTTTTAGAGATGAGCACCTTTTGGTTAGCCAAATTCCTAAGTATTTTATTTTTGGGACATATTCTGAATATTTTTTACATTCTACGTTTTATAACATCCTACTATGATACTATGTATTCTTCATCTAGCTTTATCTTTACCTATATCTTTACCTAATAGTACCTATTACTATTTTCTAGTTCATTAATCATCTTTTCTTTTTTTTCTATTTTAAAAACAGTTTTTATTCTGCATATTTAGAAATGTGTAATTTTTAATAACGGCAAAGAAAAAAACATCTTTTCTTGTTAATTTCCTAATCTTTGCATCTATTATCTAACCAGTTTTACCATACATTCCAAATCAAATAATATTCCGTTTCCCCTTTATCTTTTATTTCCATTGTCAGCCTATCCATCTCTGTGCAATCTAATATTTTCTTTATCACCGTTTCTTCAGCTGCTATATTTCCATTTTTCCAATTTTGCGCGTAAACAATTCTAGCCACTGTTATTATATGTAATATTAAATATTGGGTTTTTTAAAATTATAGTTCCCTGTTAATATGCCTAGTAAAAATATCTCTGGTTTTAGCTCTATTTGTTGTTTTACTATTTCCTCTAGCCATTTTCTTATCCTTATCCAGTATTTTTTTGCTATTGGGCAAGTCCACCACATGTGATAGTATGTTCCCTGCCTCTGTTTATATTTCCAACATACCGGAGATTTGTTTGGGAACATTTTTGCTAATTTGGCTGGAGGTAGATGCTATTTCTAGAACTTTTGTATAGGTTTTCTCTGTATGCTGCTGACATTGTCAATTTATCATTTTTTTCCCCACAATTTTTCCCAGTTTTCAAGTTCTATAAGTATAGCCAAAATTTTTTGCCCGGGTTATCATCATTTCCTTTACTATTTCTTCTTCCATTTTGAATCTCAATAAGTAGTTGTATAGTTTTTTTATCATTTTTTCCTCCGTCCCCTGTAGTATCTTGTCTAGTTCTTGTGGTTCCTTGTAGAATCCATAGTTTTCTGCATCTTTCTTGTACCTCGTCTGGATTTGCATATAAGTACACCAGTCTAAATGAATTCCCTGGCTCTTCAATTCTTGCTTCGTTTTTAGCTTCCTCTGTTTGTTTAATATATTTTTATACCTTGATATTTTATCTAGATCCAGCACATTCGGATATATTAATGCTTCCATCGTTGATAACCAGACCGGTATTTTGTTCTGGTGGTTCTGTTTGATTTTTTCCCATATTAGTATCAGAGCGTTTCTAATTTGGTATCTTTGGAAATAACTGTTTGTTTTGCTTTTCCCATCCCAAATAAATGCGTACCAGCCCAATTGTAGATCATGTCCCTCTATAGTCAAGATCCTTTTGTTCTTTAAATTTATCCAATCTTTTATCCATCTGAGAGCTGCGGTTTGGTAGTACAGTTCCTACTCTGGTAGCCCAAAGCCTCCTTTATTTCTACTGTCTTGTAACAATTTTAATTTAATTCGTGGTTTTTTTCCCCAGCCAAATAAATTTTGTTATTAGTTTGTTTAAATCTTCAAAAAATTTATTTCCTAGTTTTATCGGTATTACTTGAAATAGAAATAAAATTTTAATTGTGGCTATTCTTCCAGTTAATCAGAGTTGTAGTTTTTTCCAGTTGTCCAAATATATTTTTATTTGCTGTATTACTTTATTATAATTATCTTCTTTAATCGATGAGCTTCTTGCTGTTAGCCAGATTCCCAAATATTTTGACTTTTTTAGTCATCTGCATGCCCATTTTTCCTTCCAATTCATTTTTCTGTTTATTAGTAAGATTTTTTGTTATTATCTTTGTCTTATCCTTATTTAAGTCCTACCACTATACCAAATTCTTCTATTTTCTGA